TACTCAGTATAAATTACATTAGTAAAATAAAGCCACTGTCAAAGTTGTTCAGGGAAGTTGGTCATGGTGAAGGCTTTATGAAAATTCATTAATTCTGTTTCAGGCTGAAGGGAATTATGTTGCAGAACTTTAATCCAAGGCCATGGGTGTATTCTCTTGCAACTAGAACCAAGGTGGTTTCCTTCCTACTTCCTGCTTAATCAATGGTTAGGGAAATCGAGAAAGAAATAATTTCTCATATACCAGTATGCCTGACTGCTGTTAATTTTCCAGAATCATGATTCCTTGTTATTTTTGCTTCTGAATGCAGCACTTCTGCCACAGACTCATCCATTTTTATGGTTTGTAGAATATGGAATTAGTGGATTAGACAGTGAGTAATTGATTTACTGCCAGAAATAACTGACAGTTATGTAAATCTCATATTGTCTACTTTATTGGAGTAGACTAGGGTTTATGACTGAGATCATCAATACAGGAGTGCATTTAGAATTGACAACTTTCCCATCACGTAACTGAATACCCTCTGTTGGGTTTGAAATGATTGCTTAGAAGTCATTAGTCTCAAATTGCTGATCTCTCTGACCCCAGGAGTCCACACTGTGACTGTATAAAGCATTAGGTTTTTTTCTTTTATCAAAATGCTTTGTGGGGGCTTCATAATACAATAATGGAATCTATAATTAGTTCTGAATATTTCTATAGTATCCTATAAGAACCTCTCTGAGAAAACCTGAAACCTTCTAGATTTCTCTATAAGATTTTCTGAAAGAGTTGATTTCAAAAGTGAAAGGATAAATTTACATAAAATAAAACATTGTTTTACACTAGGTCTTGGAACTGGTTCTAACCAAGTTCTGTAGTATGGTGTGAAATAACTACTGATACAGTCCCTTTAGATCTGAGAATTACTGGAATTTAAACATTGTGAAATTTGAAGCTTGAGGTAAACCCAGCAGTTTTCACTGCCATTTATTTAAAAATTAGCTGTTCCTGGTTTACACTGTGGTTTTGATAATCAAGTTAATGATGTATAGGATGAAAGAGGATGGACAAATAGCATAAGAAAGTAATTAGCTAATGATCTTTTTGTACTCAGTCAGTTTTTCTCTTTAGAGATTATCTCTTGGAATAGTCTGCTCATTTTAGCTTTCCATGTTCTAACTGGAAAATTGGGTTTCTCACATGTACTGAGTTTTGCCTTATCCAGCTTACCTGCTAAGTGGCTGGAAAAATTGTATGAAAAAAAAAAATTGTCTTTAGTTGGGGGTTATCAGGTGTAAGCTTTATTTCTAGACATTTTACTGCTGCTTCCCCACCATCTGTGTACTTACACAGAAGTGTATTATTACAAGAGGATTACGCAGTGGAACAGCTGAAAGCATCTTGTTTTCAAGAAACAGTTCCCCTTACAAAATCATAGTCATGGAATGGTTTGGATTGGAATGAACCTTAAAGATCGTCTAGTTCCACCCCCACTGCCATGGGCAGGGACACCTTCTACTAGCCCAGGTTGCCCAGAGCCCCATCCAACCTGGCCTTGAACACTTCAGTGCTTCTACAGGCAACCTGTGCCAGTGTTTTTGGCGTTCTGGGCTGCAAACACACATTGCTGGTTCATGTTGGATTTTCCATGCACTGGTATCCCCAAGTTCTTCTCTGCAGGGCTGCTCTCAATCCACTCGTCCCCTAGTCTGCATCAGTACTAGGGATTGCCCTGACACAGGTAGAGGACCTTGCAGTTGGCCTTGTTGAACTTCGTGACCTTCACACAGCCCACTCCTCAAGCCTGTCAAGGTCCATCTGGATGGCAACCCTTCCCTCCAGCGAATCAACTTCACCACACAGCTTGGTGTCATCAGCAAACTTGCTGAACGTGCACTGAATCCCACTGTCCCACTCAATCCCATCCCATTGATGAAGATATTAAATAGTATTGGTCTCAGTACGCACCCTTGAGGGACACCACTCATTACTGGTTTCCACTTGGACATTGAACTATTGACTGTAACTCTTTGGACACAGCCATCTAGCCAATTCCTTATCTATCTAACAGTCAATTTGTCAAGTAGAAGAGTGAATTCTCAATATTGATTTTTCTTTCGGACAGCTCTCTGCTAATGAAATATATAATAGTAAAAGAATCATCACTTACACCCAGAATTATGTGAAGTAAATAAGCGACTTTTTCTAGGGAGGAGGAGAACTTTCTGGACGTGTTTTGGACCAAAGAAAGCATTTAAACCTTAAAAGATAAATGTTTTAAATTACTGTTACCAATTTTTTATCTTTGTTGCATGTAGGTATGTCTCGGGCTTTGCACTGGCAATGTAAAATGAGATATATAAGACATAGAGCTGAATTCTAAATGTTTTTCACCTTTAATACATACCTTTCTTTTATACTTACCTAATACTTCCTTTCATCTTGTCTACAGTTATCTCCTTACTCCCATTTCCCTTTCCCCTTTCTGGCTGTTCAGAGGTTTTGTGTGATCCAAAAAAATAATAAGTGATCTGTAAAATTCTAGCATGGATATAGTAAAGTACTCAGAAAAGGAAAAACAAACAAAACAGTAACCAAAAAGTGAACTAAACAAAAAAAAAACAGAAAAGTGTTGCAGGCTGTATGCAAAGTCTGATGATACGTAGTAATTTTGTCTTTTCCTCTATTGATTGGTTAACAGTGACTGTTACAGAAGAGTAGGGGGAACATAATTCTGAAATGACTCTTCATATAAAGAGTGTTTGATTAGTTTTACCCTTAGGAAGATTCTGGTTACAGAGAGAGTCACTAGGTAATACATTTTACAGTGTTACAGATGACTATATGGGTTTTTAAGCTACTCCCTCATTTAGCTGCCATTAACTGCCATATCAACCAGTCAGATCCTTTTCAGAGCTTTTTATGTTTGTTCTTCTCACTGGTGAAGATTTTTGTAAGTCTTTTACTGAGCAATCCAACAAACTTTGTACTTTTCAAGCCCCCTCCTTACCTCTAGCAAACATGGCATCCCAGGCTTATTGCTAAATACTTCTTTATTTTGTTTACAACTTGCAATCTGATCCCTTGTCTCATTGTACTTGGCAGACTGACCCATTTTGTAGGAACTACTTTTCTGAACCCTTGCTGGTGTTCTGAAAACAAATTTTAACTTTAGTAATAGTTGCAAAGGACAATAAAAATACATATATGGTCCCATATTAATAAATTAATTAAAGAGTGTTTGGAGATTGTACACATTAATAGATTTTGGCCTTCACTTTTGACATTTTTAGATGTTTGTACATTTTGAAAATCAACCTTTTTGTGTCTTTTTCTTAAGAATGCAAAAGTTGCCTGTAAATTACTTCTTCGAAACTCTGTGTTGCCCCAGCATTTTCCTTCATCCTTAGTTTTAGGAAAGTCACTGGATGACAGTAAACCAGCAGTTTCTTCTTTTGAGGGCTATTTAGGAAAAAAGGTTTACAGTGGAAGAAAAGGATATTTAGGCATTTAACGTAAGTATGCAAGGTGGTAAAATAATAATAAACAAAAGCACAATAAATAAGGTGTCCCAAGTGCTTGTAACTTACTTTGATAGTAATGAATTTCCTTAGACTTCTGATGTGCTTCCACTGATTGTATCTTTTCTCTCACATTAATCAAACATGGAATACATCTAATTTCAGGACTTCTGAAGCAGTTGCTTAGGGTTGTTCAACCAGAGCATGTATAAATATTTGGTTTGGACTTCTGAAAGCAGAAAATGAGCTAACTGATTTTTAGTTTTTTAGTCTCAAATATTTCATCAGATCTCTCTTGTAAAAAGATTACATAGAGTGAAACACCCTAAGACCATGTAAGTCACAGAGCTTTCATCTGAACTTTCCTTTTAATTACATATTTTTAAAGTTAAAATCTTTTTCAGCATTTGCTAATCCTGACCCTTTGTTACAAAGGGTCTTATACTTACTGCCATACGAAATGTAGTTTAGTTTAAACTTTTAAGTGTCAGTGATATATAAAGCCCTGAAATGAACCCCTGGAAGGGGAATGTAGCTGTTGTTATATCAGCATGTAGCAGCAGAGGACAGGAAGAAAACTGTTAACAAATGCAGAGCAAATGATTTAACAGGCAACATAAAACTATCTCTGCTCCTTTATAACATCGGGATGCAAAAACCTGCTCAAGATTTCATGCAACAGTTTTCATAAATGAGTTCAGTTGGGAAGGTGATGGAGAGTAGGATCTGTATAAAAGACAGCAGAGCTGTAGTATGGCACTGAAGAACTGGGAAAGCATGAAACCACAGTACTATGTTCAGAGTTCTCTGTATGCAACTGCAGAACCAGTGTATCAAATGTGTTAATCTGAGTTTACTCTGAATCTACCATCTAAGGATTGTTATATGATATATTAAAAAGGTTTTATTAAATGTGACTGAAAGCATTCCATAGTGAAATTGGTAGAGAAGTAAATGTCAAACTAAAATTTTATCACTATATTTTCAAGATAATGAGGAAATTAAGCAAATTAAATTATGAGGCCAGCCCCTGAATCCCATCAGAATTACTGGGGCCTCTTGAAGGAGTCCTACAGAAAGTTAAATGTTAACTTTGTGCTTTCTCGATCACAATACTGATCAAGACTACAGGTGGGTTTTTTTGCTGTGCAGCAATGTCACTTCTGCTATCCAGATGGTATCAGACTGAAACAGCACTCATAACTGAAACGTACCAAAGCTCTGTCTGGTTCTGATATGGATTGCCTCCACTGCTGTTGCACAGCTAGTGAAATTGTGTGGCATGTGAACCCATGTTTGATTGTAGCAAATGCAGCATTTTCCTTATGGTTGATGAGAGCTGCCTGCTCTTCTGTGTCAGTGGTGTAAAATGGCCACAATAAATCAAAAGGTCTTACTTACCCCAGATATAGTTCAATAGCAGTTAGTTCTTTTTACACAGCATGTTGTAGTCTTAATACTTTTTTTTATTGCCCTTCTATTGATGTCTCACAGAGTTTGCTGTGCCATCTCCTTTCTTCTTCTAAGTGGGAAAGTAATGAAGCTGAAACCAGTAAATTCATATCAACTCTTGGCTACACATCAGCAGATTATTATTGTCACTTAGTTAAAAACGTAAGTATTTTGTGCAATTGAGATTTTGTTAATAATAAATCACCAGTTTATAAGCACATACATGGAGCTGTCATTGTGATAAGGAACGTGGACTGAACTTTGTTTATCTTTTCTTACCTCAGTTACTTTTACAGCCTTTTTAAGGGAAAAAATTAAGTGGGAAATCTCTGGACAAATGAGAGAATTTGTATTAGATTACACTGTAATAGATATTACTAAAAAACAAAATTCCTGTTGCTGTTGTGTTATAACAAAAAAGTCTGCCATGTCATTATTTTTTTTTCCCCTGTGAAATTTAAATGATAAATTTTATTTTGTGTATTAGAACGTAATTTTTGAATGTTTTCTTTGACTATGCACTGCATTTAAAAGTGGTAGATGAGCCCTAAATCTTAGGAAAAGTGTCTTTTATATTTAATATACAAAAATAATGGGAATAGTGTATCATAATATGATGGTTTAAATTAGATAAATCATATAAAATGTAATAGTATTGCTCTTCTGAAAGTTCTACCTCACCTCTTGGGGAAGCAGAGCTAAAATAAATAACTTGATTGTTTTCAAATATGGAAGGTATATAATGTGTGTTCAAAAAATGTTTTGCAGCATAATTTATTCAGTGATCTAGATACCTTTAATTTGGCACCAATAATTAAAAAATTAAAAAATCAAACTGAGTGAACAGAGCAAGTTACTAAACACTGCAGTATGTCAGTCACACAGAGAACCATGCAACTAATGTCTGCTGATTTGCAGTATGTGTAATAGTTTTTATTTTATTTAACAGATGATCTCTTCATTAGTAACAGAACTCAGAGGAAATCAGTTCACTGGACTTACCATTCAGGGGAGGTAGGTGTTATCTAAACATAATTTTGATATATTTCAGTTTGGATCATTACAGTTCAGTGAGGAGCTTTTTACAGTCTTGAGCAACTTAGGCTTCAAATGGAAAGTTTTGAATGTGTATGCAGATAATTTCAGGTGTGGACAAGCTTATTAATTTGTGCTTCACATAAGAATTTATATTTAATGTGAGAGTCATAGAATGGTTTGGATTGGAAGGGCCCTTAAAGTTCATCTAGTTCCAACCCCCCTGCCACGGGCAGGGACACCTTCCACCAGCCCAGGTTGCTTAAAGCCCCGTCCAACCTGGCCTTGAACCCTTCCAGGGAGGGGGCAGCCACAGCTGCTCTGGGCAACCTGTGCCAGGGTCTCACCACCCTCACAGGAAAGAATTTCTTCTTTATATCTAATCTAAATGGACACTCAGTTTAAAACCATTACCCCTCATCCTATCAGTACATTCCTCATAATACATAAGAGTCCCTCCCCATCTTTCCTGTAGCCCCCTTTAAGTACTGTAAGGCTGCTACGAGGTCTCCCTGGAACCTTCTCTCAGCTGAACAACCTCAACTCTCTCAGCCTTTCCTCATAGGAGAGGTGTGCCATCCCTCTGATCTTTTTTGTGGGTCTCTTCTGGACCCACTCCAACAGTTCCATGTCTTTCCTGTGCTGAGGACTCCAAAGCTGGACACAGTACTGCAGGTGGGGTCTCACCAGAGCAGAAGGGGAGAATCCCCTCCCTCGACCTGCTGGCCATGCTTCTTTTGATGCAGCCCAGGATATCGTTGGCTTTCTGGGCTGTGAGTGCACATGGCTGGGTCGTAATCAGTTTTCCATCTACCACTACCCCCAGTCCTCAAGTTCTTCTCCACAGGGTGCTCTCAATCCTTCATCCTCCACTCTGTACTGATACTGGGGATTGCCCTGACCCAGGTTCAGGACCTTGCACTTAGCCTTGTAGAACCTCAAGACCTTCACAATCATAATGTTGGCTGCTATATGTGTCCTCAGAACCAAAGTTAACTGGCAGTTACTATGAGAAAAAGCAAAAAAATTTTTCCAAAGGAATTTTTTTTCCTGTTTGTGTGAGTGATAGTTTAATATGACAGAATAGTAGTTACTTTGCTCTTGTTACTAATGGTAAAATTTGTTTGTGTTTATTTAAAGAACCTCTCATTTTCCTGCCATTAGTTCCCTGATCTGGTACCAAACGATACTGTGGTGATACCACATGTTTCATATACAGCTATTTTAAATGTTCCTGAGCACAGAGTATTTCCACCATTTAACTGTTTCCTCAGCCTGTTTTTTTAAGGATGAAAGTCTGAGAAAGAGGGTGGAAAGGAAATGGTGATGGTGCTCTGGCCAGATCTCCAATCCAGATTATCAGATGCTAATAATCATTTTGCAGCATTCTGCAGGGTGTTTCTACAGATCTAGTTGTAGTCAGTGAGAATAATCAACTTCTTCATGCATTCTACATAAATACAGTGAATTAAGCCAAAATCTGTGACGATAAAAAAGGAATACATTTGCCTAATGCTACTATTGTCACTATTTTTGACATGATTGTGCCTTTTCACTGTGTAATTTGTGCCTTTCCACTGACCTTGAAATGCAGATCATAGTCTTTTGTCAATATTTTAAAAATTACTGTATTTGAGTACATAATAGATCCTTTTGATTGCATGCATATTGTTTTCCAGCTAAAACACAAAAGCAAAAATAAGGATATGTATTTTTAATATAAACTGTATATTCAAATTGTGTCTTCTGTTTTAAATGTATGACTCTCCTGTGCATATTGTGTTGGTCTTCAGAGTTAAAGCTGCTGTTATGTTTAAATGAGTTTTATGACCTATTTAACACCACATAGCCTGAAAAGTTACAGGAAAGAGGAAGCTGATTGAAATATCTTCCTTTTATCATGAGTCAATAGCTTGGCTATTTTTCTGTCTTTCTTGTTGAACTTAGATGTTTGTGGAAGGAAGAGTAAATGAGCTAAATTAATTTAGAGCTGACTTTAACACTGAAATGATGGACACAGCTGTTGAGCATCACAAAGTTTTGTTCAATGTAGAAAACAAATACCCACATTTTATAAAGTAGGATAAAGCAGACTTAGCTGAAAAGCTAATGAGGCTGTTGGGAAGAGAAATATCCGATTTCTACTGGAAGAAAAGGAAAACTTTGAATGTAGGTGGATTTTTGAGTGTAGAAATTATGATATGGTTGTTTATTCAAGTTGCAGAGAGAAATGTAGTTTGCAGTTAGAGGTGTACATTGTCTCATTTCTCTGTTCAGTGATGCTTACAGCAACACAGATGAAACTGTCTGTGCAAATCCATTGCAAACAGTGGAATGCACAGTGCAGTATTCTCCAGGAACATATTTTGAAGTTTATGTAGAAAAGAAGAAAATTGCCTTTGCAGGATTTTTCCTCTAAAGTTAAGAGTAAAGTAAACTGCTAAAGTTCGCTGCTCATGAGTAAGTAATTAGAAACAGAATTTTGTAAAGGGGACTGATTTAAAGAGTCTCAGGTCTGTGAGCTTTACATGTATTTACATGTGTATCCTGGAAAACACTACTGCACAATTAATATCAGCCCAGTAATTACCATTCCTACAGAAACACTTCTTACAGTAAAACTGCATCTCAAACTATTTCAGTGTAAGAAATCTTAAACACATACTTGGTTAGGTACTTACTTGGAAATTTAAGTCTTTGAAAATGTGTCATGTTTTATTTCTCTCACTGTGGAAACCACAATGGTACCCCGTGTCCACAAATCATAGCACTTCTGTCACAGCATATGCCAGTGACCATTAGGCAACATCTATTTGGGAGTATCTTTAATGCAGGGTAGTAGAGTTAGCTCTTATTCAGAGCAGCCGGTAGTGTAATTCCTGTCTCAGCTCTTCATAAACTGCATTGGTGGCTCCCCAAAGAAAACAGTTTCAGGTTCTTGCAAAGAATGCACCCCTTTTAGTGAGCAATGCAATCAGAAGAAACTTGCAGCAACCCAGAGAAGCCTTTCACAAGCAATCTAGCACTTCCGAGTTTGCTAGAATTCAATATTTCTGATTTCCTCATTTTCATAAATGTATTACTGCCAAAACTGAAACTGTATATACTCCAGGAAACTTGTGATTTCAAGGGAATGTTGCAAATGTTATCTCTTATATTGTGTGCCATTTTCCCTTTTGTTTATGTTCCAAAGGCTTCATTCCACTGTCTTTAGTAGTTTCCAAGTATGTAATTTTAGCAAGCAGGTCAAGTGAGTGGTTTGTATAACATCCAGAAGTGTTACATATTCCTTCAACTGTAGATCTGCAAGACAAAAATTTTTCAACTGAGCACTTGGAGACATCAGGATTGGTTTGGTTCATAGAAGTCGTCTCTCTTGAGAGGAGAGAGGTCAAGAAAACAACAGGAGGCTTTAAAAGCAGCTAGGTGGTCTCTTGTGAGGGTCTAGCAAACCTACGTGGGATCTGTGAATCCATAGTCTTCCTCACCTGTGCTTTGCTGACCCTGGGAAAGACAAAGCATTCCCTGCTAGGACGGATGTGATTACTGACTGAACACAACTGGCTGCATTTCAGAATTGGTTTGGTGTCCCTCACAGGGTTTGCCATGAGCACTAAAATAACAAAATTTTATCAGACTTCTCCTTAAGATTCTTCAGACAATATGTAACAACATAAACAGTCATCCAATAAATAAGTTTTCTGTGGTTAGGTATGCATCTCTTACATTTAATGTTCTGTAATGAATCCCTATCAGTTTAGAAATTAAACTTTTGACTTTTGTGAAATGTCAGCTGCGTTTATTTTTCCCTCAGAGTTTCAGCCAGTCATGTGAATGCCGTGTCCCTTTTCTGTGTCCCTCTCATTACTTTGCCTGATCTAACCCCATTGCTGGAAACTCTCCTTCTTTACCATGGAGGTACATCAAAAGAAATTTTGAGTTCAGAGTTTCTGGAGGCTGTGAATGAGGCCTTTTTAAAGTAAGTAGCATGGTCTGTATGATTTTTACGCTCTTTTTGTAAAGTTTATTCATTCAATTAAATGTATTTTCTCTTGGTTTGTATGCCGATTGCACTGTACACCTTCTTCATTCTACTAAAATATTTCCCATATAGTTGAATAGCAGAGCTCAGGTTGTAGGCCAGAGCGGACTTTTATGTTGCTTATACACAAATTGTGGCATAACAGCTTTAAATGTTAACTGAACCTTCGTCCCACCTTTTCTCTAAAATTGCAGTTAAAGTATTCAACAGAATCTTAGGAATTTTGTGAAGACATGATCACTTCTCATAAAAATGTTATTTACCTTTCACATAAGCATATCAACATTTCTAACGACATATTGAGAGCCAACTTTATTTTTCTGTGCATAAGATAGATCCTTTTGTTTGAATGTTTCCATACTTTTTTTTTTTTTCCTGTGAAATTTGTTATCAGGATTTTAAATTCTTTTGTTTTTCGGTAGTTTATTTTTAATGAGTCTGAGAGGAGCAATTTGTGAAATATAACTTTACTTCTCTTGCTGCCACTAAAACCACTGTTTTGATAAAATCAGTCTATGGATGAAAAACATCTGAGTGAAGCTGGCATCATCAAAATTGGCTATGCCAGGGAAAGAAAGATGTCAGGGAAACCTCAGCCTGCTTTAGGTGGAGAATTACTTTATTCAGTTTGTAGCTGAGGAGCTGTATTATAAACAAGTTTTTTTTTGTTGTTTTTTTTTTTTTGTTTGTTTGGTTTTTTTTTTTTTATACTAGAAAAGGTCCTTTGCAAAGACTTTACCTCAATTATCCATTTATCTCTCTTTTAATCAAAGTTTTAATTTCTTCCTCTGTACTCAACATGGTAATTTCTGAGTTGTTCCAATGAAGATTGTTACATTGCTCCATTGAGGGCTCCAGCAAAAAAAAACAATTAATGGCAAAGAACAATTACTAATTTGTACACATGTTACTAAAAGCCGAGGAAAACAAGTGAAAAGCGAATGTGAAGCTCTGTAGCAAAAGCTGTGTCCCAAAAAAAAAGAGAGCACTATCTTCTACTTGTCCATCTTTCATGGTTTCAGACTGGGTATGTGTCGTGGTTTGAGCTCAGAGAGCAACTGAGCATCACACGGCTGCTCGCTTCCCCTTCACTCCCAGTGATGAGAAGGGAAAAATAAGCCAGGCTTGGGATTCAAGATAGTAATGGGAGGGACAAATCGCCCACTATGGTCACAGGCAAAAGACAGACTCCTCAGAGGACGAAAAAAAAGAGCATAGATTTATTACAGACACTAACAACAGCAACACTTAACAGAGTAGGACAGTGAGAAGCATTGCCACATCTTGAGAAACCTTCCCCCCACCCCTCCCTTCTTCCCGGGCTCAGCTCTGCTCCCGGTATCTCTACCTCCTCCCCCCAGTGGCGCAGGGGCAGGGAATGGGGGGTGCAGTCAGTGCTGCCACTTGTGCCATCTCAGAAGAGGGTGGAACTTCTGGAACTTGTTCCCTGGGCTCCAGCATGTTTCCTCTCTCACAGCAGACAGTCCTCCACAAACTTTCTCTGACTGGATTCCCTCCCACGGCTGCAGCCCATCCCGAGCTGCTCCGGCGTGGGACACCCCCGCATGCTGCAATCCTCCCGGTGCTGAACTACAACAGAAGGGGCTGCTTCTTCCCACAGGGTCCCAGCTGGCTTTGGGTGCAGCCACCTTCCTAGGTCGTGTGGGGCCCCTCACAGGCCATAAATCAATGTCTGCTCCACCGTGGATCTCCATGGGTGGCAGGGGGGGGCCGCCCTGCCGTCTCACCACAGGATACAGGGGGGTCTCTGCTCCGGCACACCTCCCCCCTCCTTTCTTCCTCCGTTCCTCCACTGACCTTGGTGTTCACGCAGCTGCAGCAACTCCTCCTCCCAGGTCCCTTCTTAAATACGTTATCGCAGAGGCGCAGCTGATTGGCTCAGTTCCCAAACAGAGATGGAGCTGACTTGGAGCCGGGGGAGCTTTGAGAAGCTTCTCCCTGGGGCCACCCCTGTAGCCCCCTCCCCTGCTACCAGAAACCCCACCACTCACTCAAACCCCAGTCAGTGTGTTCCACAAGCGGTAACACAGTTCGGGAAACCTCCAGAGCACGTTCACAGGTTCAGCATGGATGGTCTGTGCTGATGTCAGTAAGCCATGTCCATCATGACATACTTTTGCCACTTCGGAATGTGAGTCTGAATCCTTTAGATAGTCATAAAAGTTTCTTCTGACTGAAATAAAAATCCCTTCACTTAACTTTTGAGCTCCTTGTTCATCACAGTGAGGAAAAATAATTCCGCTCATATGACTTTTGACTAAGTGACTCTTGCAGGGCCCTTGAGAAAAGCATATGGTTTCCCTGAGAGCAGGCGTTGGCTCACACGTGCCTTGCATGGAGTATTCCTGGCCTGTCACCGAAGCCCATGTGATCTCAGTGTTAATGTTCTTCTATTTATTTTTTCTTTCCCAGTTCAACAATTGAATTCTGTGCTACCAATCTCTGTTGTGTTCTGTACACTTGTTTTCCTTAAGAATATGCATGAAGCCTGCTCCAGGAAATAGGGTTACTAAATACTGGGACTTACAGTTCTCCACAGAACTCAGCATTGTCCCAGTGTGACCATCTGCAAGCTCAGTCGCAGAAGGATAATGACTGTAGTTTAATTCCTATATGGTTTTTAAATCGTAGAGTTGGAACACCTCTATGAAAGCTCATTAGATTTCTTTTCCTGACGTAGTATCTATAATATCTGCCATGTTACTACAAAAACAACAAAAAAAGAAGATTGTGGCAAAATTAAATAATCTCTTGGTATTCTTAGTTTACTCTGATGTGCATATGTACTTTAATAGTGATAATTAAACAGCATCTTGTAATTGAGTACTGCTTTACAATTTTGAAATTCTATGTACTTCTGTATATTTCTTGTCTACAGATGTACACTTTTAAATGAAACTATTACTGTTTTGAATGAAAAAAATACAGCTTTTTGATGGAAATCAGAATTCTTAAGGGTCATATTTAAATGAATGTATGGTTAAATACATATGTTGAAAATAGATCCTAAAATTATGTTAAATCTTCTTTCTGCTGGTATTTTTCTTTTTTATCAGTAGCTTTAGTTTGCATGTACTCTCCAGCCTAATTTTAGGGTTTTTTCATCTTTATCTGAATTAAGACTAAGGCACATTCTTATTATCTATGTATTTTTTTTTAACCTTTTAATTTACAACTATCATGATAGCTGTAGAAATATTCCAGGATGTTTTGTGCTGTGATATCTCTTCTTCTTGGGTGGTTACTTCAGTATATTTTGATTTGTCCTGGCCCACACAAATTTTGGTGTTATTTCACAATAAACTGTACCTTTTGTTTCCTAGTGATACAACAGTATGATTCAGCTGAGTTATAGCTGAAGGTTTCGGTGAAGAGATAACTGTCTTTTTAACCATTTATCTTTTAAAAGGCCCTGGTTGGTGTTGGTGGGCTGAAGAATTACCTACCTCTACTCCATTTTTTGGTTGGTTGGTTTGTTTTTTTTTTCTTGTTTCTGGGCAGCAGTAATATTATCCAGGACCTTCCTGCTTACCTGTCAGCTGCTGACACTTTCTGATCAGGCAGGTCTTCACAAAGCAGCCTGGGTTTAAAAAAGCACAAGTGTGGGGCAGGACCTTTCTTTAGAGTGGAAGGGAACCCCAGACTTACACCTTCTGTTTCCATTTACTGGGATCCACCATTTTTAGGTTTTTAAAGACACGTGGTAAAGTTTAATTTGTGGATGATGGTGCTTCCCTGTTATTCTTTGCCATTATTATTGAACAGACCACTGTAAACAAGTTTTGCGCTGTCTTGCTGCAGGTTGATCTTTGTGCCTTCTTTTTCCCCAGTGTGCTTTACAAAAAAGTACATTTTTGTCTCCCTCCCAGTTTCTTGGGGAAAACTGTGTTTTTCTCTCCAAATCAGGAAGAAGATCTCCCTTCCCGAATCAGCTGTCTTCAGCCTCTGGCTGCGTCACTTACCAAGCCTTGAGAAGGCTACGTTGTATCTGTTAGACCAGCTGCTTTCCATTCAGATGAATTCACTGGAAGAAGCTGCTGGTGTCATAAAAGACTCCTTACTGGTATGTGCAACATGGAGTACATTTGATACTTCTCTTTCATGCTTCAGAAGTGACAGAGAGTTTCCAAATATGTTAGCATATTTGAGGGAAATGGCTGTCATGTGGCGTGTAATTTACTAATGCAAAGGCAAATCTTGAGTCTTACAACTGCCACTAAATTTTCAGTTTTTACACTGAATTGGTAGAAGAGAAAAAAGATTTCATTTAGTGGTGAAGAATGTATGAAGAGATGAGAATCTGACTGGTGGGGTGCTGAGTACCTGGCTATGTTCTAAAGAAAAATTATAAACTTTGGCTAGGGAGGATTTGAATCTTTTTTTTTTACTTCAGTCTCTGTGCCCTTGGGAGTTCAGCAGTTTAAACAATTGGAAATATCTTGTAGATTATTTTATTATGGACTGCCTAGTTACTTAGTTTTGTTTGCAAACCTGAACAAAATTCTTTATACAAAACATTTGCTAAACCTTTCAAATGCTGTGTTACACAGTGCACCAAAAACCTTTTCTATGAGAAAACATGACACAATACCTTTTCCAAAATAATGAGCTAGTTTGCAACACTAAATGTAAATGTAATTGTTAATTACAGTGTGAAATGGCATGTGTGCTATGTACTTAAATTGTATATTTCATAAAATAGATAGAACTAAATAATGGCATGTGGTATCTTATGTTCAGCCTATGAAACTGCTTACAGAGATTCTATTCTAGGTAAGAAATTAATTATTACCTTTAAATGTTCTTCCTTTTTAATTAAATCTGCAAATTTCTATTTTAGGGATCCATTATATTACTTGCAAATCTTGTAAATGCTTGGCATCAGCAGCACTTCATATGTCATCTGGTGATCTAAGCATGCCAGAAAATAAGGCTATATGCAAGGCCTGTGCCTAATTTTTCTGTGTCAGATACACTGTGAGTTGAATACAGGATATGGTACCACATATGGCTGAGGAAGAAAATCAAAGTATCTAGGTTATATGCAAAAAGAAGCAAAGAATTTGTTTTAATTATTGGTTTACTGTTGTTTATTAACAGTGTTCGTATTTACCCGGTCTTCACATTCTGATGCCTGAAAAGAATGGAACATTACTGTGCTCACTTAGGTTGTCCTTACTTGCCTCTGCTTCAAAGATTTCATGTTTTCCAAATAAGATATTCACAGAGTGGAAAGACCAGTGCAGCAGCTTTGAACGCTGGTTTAGAGAGGACATCCTGTGGACAAGGAGTGGAATGAATGGAGGCAGAAAGAAGGGGGCAGTTGGAAGATGGATATTGCTGATCAGTAGGCATTGATAAGAGGGAAAGTGCGTAAATGGGAGATGGCATACCAATTAAAAACAACAGGATGAGAAGCTTCAGAGAGGCAGTATAGAAGGAAAAGATTTGATTTGGAAATTGTGTTGTACAATACTTAATGATATTTTGTACAACTTGCACATGGTACTATATATTTACTTGTGTAGCATTTAGTTAGTCAGCACTTTGAATCCAACAATATGATTAATTTAGTCTGCCTGAAAGATATTTGAATATTTAGGAATGTAAGTATGCATTTTTTAGTGGTTGGGTTATGGTGTTTATAGTCTGTGACCTCTGTTTGCCTTATGGATATGGTAATAAAAAGTGGAATCATGAGACAAAACTTGATTTATACATTTTTTCTATTTGGAAGAAAACCTCTATAGTATAGATAGGAAGAAATACATTAGTGGTTTGATTATAGTATATGATAAGAAGGAAATGTCAATAAGCTATTTCATAACTGCATTATCAGTCACTTACCTAAATAAAATATCTTGATACAGTAACCAAACTGTACATAAACCTCATAGAAATCTTTGGTACCCAGATAGTTGTAAAACACCATACTTCTGTTATGAAAGAAGCTTGATATACAATACTGTTACATTTTAATTCCAAGAGTAATTGTAATGTGACGATCTACTAATTTGTGTTTTATATGGTATGCTATTAGATTTGTGGTGTGGGGGCTAAATGGGAATTAATATTGGAAATTCTGTAGTTATTCAGTACTAATAAAAGCAAGTTAAGTGACCATCACAAATGGTCTTTCAGCTTCTTCAGAGTTTGATGGGTGAGTGGATGTCTACCTTTGTGAAGTAACTTTAAGGTTCGTATGTGTGCGCTAGCAACTAAAATTTAAGTAAATACACATACTAGAATTTTATGCTGTCCCAGAAATGCATAGGTGTGTATACAAACAGAGTTTTAAACCATGTGTGTAAAAATAGGTGCAAGTGAATCAATGTCAATTATAGTTTGTGTTCAGTTCTTAGACAGCTTTCCAAAGTAGTTTTATTTCTTTCAAAGTTACGTTGCGAGAAAAGAGTAATAGGTTGAGAGGGCTTAAAATTTGTCAGCTTCTAACCATCTGTTACTGCTGCATTTTGTTTTCCTACTTCCTCAGCTTTCCCAAGTCCAGCCCAGCATCGAAATTATGTTGCGCTCTGCAGTTAAAGCTCTGGCCGTGGGGTCTCCCTTGCTGTTAATTTCACTTCAGCATTACAGAGCAAATACAGTTTTAGTGGGTGATATGGTGACACTTGTACTGCCTGACAGGATACCAAGCTGGAGACTGCTCTGGTTCCCATGCCCTTGCACTGCCCTCTTGCTGTGCCTTATCCCCAGGTTCTGAGCCTAGCTGGATCCACGCTCACCTTTCATTGGGAGCTGTGCCAATGAAACAGGCATTAATGAGGGTGAAAGGAGGAAGGATAGAGGGAGAACATGAGAAGCTGTTTTTCTTCTTGCAATGCATTCCAGCTAAGTTACAATTAGTTCCCACAGTATTGCCTGTTTTCAAAACCTGCGTTGTTTTGGTAAAATTTTTGAAATAGCACACACTAATATATCGATAACTTCGATGAATTCAGGAGCTTTTTAAACCTCTGTGAAAAGAAGTTTGTGCTTTCAAAATCAGTGTATGCTTCAAAATAAAAACACATTTGGCACTTGGTATAAGAAAAAAATTATGTGGCCTTTCTTATTTTTAATTGATAAATATCAAATTCAGGAATACAGGAAATACACAATTTGGAAATACAGACAACATTTGGAATACAGCAGTGTAGTAGTTTTGTAAAGATAGATGTGTTTAACTGCAGAAGCATTGTGTCCGATCAAACGCATGCAAATCTGGAAGTCAAGAGAACTGATATTTTTGGTGCTACCACCTCAAATCTGTTTCTGTGGGATCTTGGGCACCATTTGTTTCCCTGTGTTTTCTCTTGCAGTTGTTACAGAGCATTCTATGATGTGAATAAAATGCAGTGTATCATTATTAGTCTGTTCTTCCTTGTGCCATTTACATTTACTTCCTTCCTGTAGATACAAATGTGGTTTTCTTATTTCTTTATCCATTTCTGGCTTTGTATTATAAATTAGTTGTTTAAGATTCTTCTTTCTGATCATACAGATGCAAAAGTTAGTGTAGTTTTACAGAACTTGTGTATGTTACAGTATATTTTTCCTATTGTATTTCTTTCAAAAATAACTATTATTGTGGTTCTTTTTTTTCTGAAGAGGAACATATTCTTAAAATATGTAATTATAGTATCACACATGAGACTTCAATTCCCTGTGTTTGGATCTTTTTGGTTTAGTGTGTGGAGTGCTGTATGTGTTGTGCATGTTTTAAAAGTGATGGAACAAGATCCTGATAGACAGTATGTTTGATTTTCTGAATTTCTGTGAAAATACTGCATAGTTGCAAACATGATTATTAAAATGTAAAATGCCTTTTTGTTTTGAAAAAATAAGGAGATTAAGACAACAACGTGAAAAGTGTATGAGAATCCCTCTTGAATTTGATTATCCCTCTTAAATGCCAGCATTGCTGCTGGCTGCAGCAGAATTGTGCTGCCTGCTCTAGTTCTGCTAAACAGCAGGCACATCTTCAAATTGCCTTAGACTTCTGCACTATGATAGCATTCTTACTTTGAGTGCTTGCAAATTAATTCCATGCAGACCATTGATCAAAATCTTGTGGAATTAGGTAACGGTAGGGCTTGGGGTTGGTTTTTCTTTTCATTGTTTTCAGTTTTGAATACCAGTAATGAAATTCATGTTGATGTCAGTAGTGTAGATTAAATACTAGGAGCTCTTAACTGTATTTTATTGTAGTAAGTATTGTAGGTTGCTCCTGTCTGGCAGGAAAGGGTGGAGAGTTTCTCATTGTTGCATTTTTTTTGGTGTTGTTCAAAAGAACTATAATTTGATCTTGGTACGTGTGGCAGTGTGCTGATGGACACTTTCTAGTTTGTATTCACCCTGTCTGAAGCAACAGTGGTTTGGTATGTCATCACAGAGGCATGTGTGCAAAGGTAGGTAAAGTGTCTGAAAAGACAGTGGAGAAATGGCTACATTGAACCGTTCAGCCCACAGGACTGGAAAACATACTTCTCACTTTCCACTGTTTTCACAGAATTGAAGGATGGTTGGGGTTGGAAGGCACTTCTGGAGATTGTCTAGTCCAAGTTTTCCTTTGGGAAAAAAAAAAAAAAACAAACAACCCACCACCACCAACAACAGAAAAATAAAGTGAACATGTCTATTTTTTGCCTCAGCCAGCCATTATTTTTTCTCCTTCCAGTAGTGGAAGTTTGGAGACCAGCCTTTTCAACAAGATGCATGCTGTTCTTCACACGTCCAAACAACCGGCTGTAAATACTCTCGAACACTAGATGGCACACGTTCAATAGGACAATTTAGCTACAGCCATGTGGCAAAGAGAAAGTGTGCTAAAACAAGAAAATGAGGTGCCACCTAATATTTCCAGTATGCCAAAACCAACTGTGAGAAATAAGGAGCTTTTCTAGACAGTTTATATTTAAAGGTTGTCTCTGTTTTCTGAGATTATCATATAGGGATCATATAAAGTCCTCATTCTGCTTGTGTGCAACTAAAAAGAAAAAAATTCTATTTTACTTGGTACTTTTTAGCTTGAAACAAATGCATGAAAGTTTTCTTTGGAATAGTGCATCGGACATGTAAAGCTGTTACAATAAATGCCATTAAGAAACACTATTTCTTCAATACATCCTGAAGTTTGTAAAATTCACTTCATTAAACATGAATTGCTCTAGTTTCTTCAAGAACTTTATTCTTATCAAAACTTCAGGTGCTAACTTCAGAAACACAAAACATTAATTGTTTTTTTAACTTAGGCAAAATATATTTTGGAGAATGTGTAAGTAGCTTTTTATTCTTGGTGCTCTATAAAAGTCTAATAAATCTAACAATTTAAGAATATGGGATTAGAAAATAGTGTGTTAACTAGTGTGTGTCTACTATAACAATTTTCTTAAAACAGTTTTTTGTGTGCTAGCATGATAAAAAGCTTCACTACTTTTAAAAAAAGTACATTTTGATGCACTGAGATATTTAACTTGTACTAGCAACTGTGAAATTCATAGAAAATGCTCTGCAAAAATTTCTTGGACCAAAATGTGTGTGATAGTATTAAAGACAAGGGTAGTAAATTTAATCTCTGAAATACGATTTTGAAGGTGTAGCAAGAATCTCAAAGCACATCCAAAAGGGATTGTCTGTGAACAGGAGAGGAAAGCTGTTTGTAAATCTGCTCTCTGTCTCTTTCCTCTAGCAACTGCATGCACCAACCTGTTCTTTCTAGCTGCCACTTTTAGTATTTTTAGTGATTATTGTCGTAAACAGTTTGGGATCCCAGCTTGTATCAGCTGTTTAGCCTTCTTGGTATCTCTGTCGATCTCCTTCCGTGACTTCGATGTAGTTATTTTGAAGAACCTAATCCTGAGGAAATCTGAGGGTTTAGTAAGAATTAATCTGAGTTTTATAGTTTAATAATTGCAGTATAATAGCATCCATAAAATAAGCTGTAAATTATACAGTCGCCATTGAGTTGTTTCTTATTAATGACTAATTTTCTGTCATTTGTTTATCAACAGCCACAAGCAGCAAGCCATCCTGCCATTTTCAGAATTATTAATGAAATTTTCAAGTAAGTCTTGAAGTCACAGTGAGAAGTGTTTCAAATAATCAGTTTAAACATTGAGGTTTTCTTCATGAGGAGTATTACAATCTGGGATGTATTATAATTATAGGATGTCTTTTTCTTTTTCTGTATGCCTTAATGTCCCCTTCTGTGTGATATACTGCAAATAGTGAAAAACGTTAAAAATCTTGCGAACTTTACATAAAAGTTCCATTGTAAGAATCATTGATACAGTTGACTACATTGTATTTTAGCCTTTAAAATTTGTAAGATATTTTGTACTTCAGTAGAGATTTGTGGTTGAAATATGATTTGGAGGGGAAAATTATAAATGCTGAAATGGCTTGGCCCATGCCAGCATGAAGATGGAATTTAGCTAAAACATTTGCACTTACAAGTGTAGCTTCCTTTACTTAATAGTCTTCAGGATTTGTATAAAGTATGCTCTTAATGGCATTAAACTATTCATCTGCCTGTTAATAATGAGTTTGGTTTTGAATGCATTATTATTTTGAAGCAATATATATTGTTTACCACATGGGGGCTTCCAGTCCTTCGTACTCAGTGGCTTTTTCTCTTCACTTCACTTGACTTATTATTTTAACATCCTTTTTAAGTATATCTGCTGCCAGGTTTATCAGTATTACAGTTTCAGTACAGCAGTAATGTATTTAGTGACTGATACTCTTTGTCCATCAAGTGTTTTTCTTCTTAAGAAAAAAGGTCTCCCGGGCACATATGTTTGGGGGCATTTGTGTGTCTGTGCATGTGTAGGTTTGTGCAGGCACTAACAGAAGAGTCTTTGCTGTAGAATCCGTAGGCTGCTGTATAGTGAGAGTGGAACCACTCAGGAGCGATGGCTATGGCAGTCCTTTTGGTTGCTGTGGTTCAGTATCTGAGCAGAGCTGGGATTTCTGAATAGTTGTTTCCCAGTATAAAATGCACTTGAAAATGGAAGTGACTTCAACAGGCCTGCTGTCAGGACATTTCAGCAGACCTCCATATCTTAGTCTGGAGGCCGTATATTGTGATGGTATAGGGAGATTAAATTTGTTCAAGGTTCTTTGCTTATTTAGGCTCATGGTATATAAAATATTTTCTAAAAATAACATGAAACTACATAACTCTTTTGCACCTTTCCATTTGGTAGACAATAGAAATGGATGAGATGCTGTTTCTCAGATAATGCAGGACTCTGTCCAGCAGAGTATTTCCTAATAAGACTTTGCACTTGTATTAATGTTCCAAAGGGTCTTAGAAATTCATCATACTTCCCTGTTTCTCAGCCTACATTTCTGTTCCTTTGTTTGCTTTCAATTGTTTCTACCTAGTATGCTTGTTCCTCTACAGTATTGGTATTTAACCCTTAATATGTTTTAAATGTACTGTGTGTCAGGTCCTCTTGGTATTATGTGAAGCTGTGTATGTTAGCTGGCTTTAGCAGACTGGTTGGTTTCTGCAGATTTGTGTCCATTTTTGTTGTATTTCTCTGACATCCTTCCAACTATTATCAAGTGGTGTGCAGACATGAAGATACTACTCTAGATTTAGTCACATGAGATTTTAGAGAGCTGCTGATAAAGAACTTGTACTTCATTGCTTGGAAACAGTGCTATGTTTCTACAGCTGGCACAAAACTCCTTTTATTTTGAGGGGTTAATATTCTATTAGAAGTACAGATCTAAGCATTGTGTCTCAGGAATAACTTTTCCAGCTATTTGCATGCTTGTTTTGGAGGTTGATTGTACTAGATTGTTTTAGCTCAGAGATATTAACTTGTGGTTTTATTTCCCAAGTAGAAACTTATTTTCTTGCTATGTGTGGCTATACAAAAGTCCATACATCTAGATTGTCTTGAGTTTCTATGTACTACTTGTGTGTATAGTAGTGATTATATTTGCCTGTAGTTTTGTAAAAATTCTCTGTTGCAGTAATTTGTTAGCTGTTCTTATCTTTAGACCATGACTGAAAGAACTAAACAATTCTCTAATAAAAACCTTGTATCTCAGTGGCAGCTTGCTTTTGAACATTTTGTCTCCTTAGTATTACATGTCTTTTAAATAAGAATGAAAATTACACTTTGGTACCCGTGTGTTTTTCTGCTCCATTTGCTCAAGGTTGCATATGCCTTATGTAAGGCCAGTTAAAGCATTCACTTTTCTGAACCACCAAAGTCAATTTTATGATTTCACCACTAAAATGCATCAGTCCCCAATTAAATCTGTAGCAATTATGGATCTAAAGTACGCCTTTGGTATACACTCATTTCTGTTTATGCAGCTGATTCATTGCTTAATGATCACTAAGGAGTCACAGCGATTGAACAGCAGCTATGTTATGTAATATTTAAATTCAGTCTCCTTGTGTAGTTTTTTTAATCTGTGACTTTTGGTTGTTTTTTTTTTTTTCTTTTTTGTTCATTATCAGCTTTTGTTTATTTGTTTTCCTGGCTCCAGTAGGAGCGTTACATTTAACAGTTTAAGTCCAGATTTTTATTTATTTATGTATTTACTTATTTTTTTCCCTCCAGGTACCATAACCCAAGAGATTGTATTCGATTGTGCTTTCTCTCTAATTTGAGATGGTTTATGGGATGCAGTCTCACAAAGCACTAAAGTATGCTTAACTGCAGGCATGGGAATGGTTGCTCTGAACACAGGAAGACTGTTCAGATGCCAAATTTGCCTAACAAAGTTGTGGTAGTCTGTTTTCTAGTTTTACACTTTCTTTTCTTCTGCTGGTAGGGTAAATTATGTGTGTCTGCATGTATGCTGTATATACTTACTAAATCTACTTTATTTTTAGAAGTTGCTTTTTTTTTTTTAAGTAAAAAATAAATTTTAAAAGGCCGCAAAGTTAGTATTTCTGTTGGTTTCCACACTGTCATAATGAAGTCATGCATAGCTTGAATCTACAGCATACAAAGAATGTATATCTTTTGTCTTCATTTCAGTTAACAGTGGTGTGACAGGCAGACTAATTATCTGATCTGTTGTAATCTAACTTTTCAATGCTTAGGAATGCACTGCTGGAAACTGATGGAACTCCAGAAGTTATAACAGTAATACAGGTGTTTACACAGCTTTTCCTTCAGGCTCATCAGAATGAAAACAAGCAGGTTAGTCAAGATCTATTTCTTAAATGTTTATTTTCAATAAGAAGATACGAAATTTAACAGGAACAATTCAACTGTTAGGAATGGTGACTGAATGTAACAGGCTAAATAATAGCATGTCTCTACAGCTGCATGTGCAGGTATATACAGTTCAGTTCTAACATCTTCATCTGTGAGTAAAATTACAGTGTGAAACCAATATGTAAAAGCAATTTATCTGACTTGACACTGGAGTAATCCTGCAACCTAAACTGTGATTTTCACAGGGGCAGTTCCCCTGCTGCTGAAGTTTTTTTGCCTGTAAAGTGAACATGATCATGATCATCCATCACTGATAGAAAGGATGAAAAACAAATGTGTTTTTCTTTTGCAGTAGCAGGGTTTCTGATAATAAATGAAACAGTGAGAATAACCCCATCTCCATTCCTCCAAATAATTATGATTAGGATTCTGAACAGTCAGATTTGTCTGTTCAGAAGGTAAAAGACACAGAATACGTACTGGTTTCAGTTTCTTGTCTTCAGCAGTGGCCTCCTAGAAATTTTTCCTCAGTCTAAAGCTTCAAATTTCCCAGCTTAGTGTCTCTTCTTCTGCACAGATTTTTATACAAGTCTTACTGAACTGAATCAAGTAGAATTACTTTTGTATGTATTTAAACAAGAGCAGGATCAGTTTCTCATTTTTAAATTTCAAAATGAAGATATGAAAAAGTCTTGTCTTGTTTATAGGTTGCAAATCACATTGTCATTTCACATCCTGACCATTTTGTTTGGTTGTTTAACTCCAAGTTATAGGATGTAAGCTTGGAAAGTATCTTACCATTTAATGGCTTTCACTTTAGATTTAAGAAAATTTCCAGTTCCTTTGATTCTTGTATCTTTTTAGGGAGGTGGGAATTAAGAAAATTTTGGGACTTCTTAGAGCTTGTTATGTACTGGCCTTTAACTAGCAGTGTGACTGAATCTGTCTTCTAGCTTCAGTCAATATGAATTATGAATGAAACCACAGCTGTCTTGCTTAATACATAGGTACTTTGCATGTTAATTTTATGCCACCCTGACTGCATGGCAGCAGCACACTGTGTAGCCCCAGGTGGGGGTGACTGGGTGGAGATCCCAAGTAAAGATTCCACACCCATCGGACACCCAATAGCTAATTCTGTTGTGCAGGTAATGCATTTGCTTCAAGGTAAAAGCCTCTCACCTGCTGGCATTGTGACATGGATTATTGCCCACTTTTTTGAAGTGGTTTTAAATGTTAAGTTTCTTCTATTTAACTTGTATACAGTTTAATTCATGGGGCTCTGATTAAGGTATTACCTTCAATATTAAATTTAATATCCCTTCTTTCACAGTTTATCAATCAACCGTAGTGTTAACTAACAGTTGGCATACAAAAATGCAGGCACAGACTCCTACCTAAACTTTTTAAAATCAGTCAGATCATACTTTCTTTCATACCAATATTACATATATTCATAAAGCACCCATCTTTGTGGTATCTGGATGCCCTTGACAGGACATAATGTGCTCCGTTAGCATTTCACAGAGGAATGGTAATACCATTAATGACAGAAGGTGAAGAGGGTTCTAGCTGCATCATATGAGACCTTAGGAATTTATAGTACAGTTAATTAAAAAAAAAAAAGGCTAGGCAAACAGATGTGTCCACAGAATTTTCAAGAGAACCAGGTATTGTCTGGCAGTTGCACAGGTTTGCAAGGAGGAGAATGATTCTCTATTGTGGTGTGGCAGCTGTCAGAAATAGCTGTCTTTTCTAATAACTTTGTAGACCATTTAGAGAGAGCAACGTTTGTCAGGAAAAAGCTCAAGAGTGTGAAAAAACAGTACTACAGGGTTTAGAAATAGTCGTGTTTCCTCTGTGTTTTGTGAGACTGAAAAAGGTATAAATGGAATATGAAGTTTAAACCTACTTAAGAAAAAAAGACCATTTGTGTAGTCATTGAATAAGAAATTTAAAAATGGAAGTACTGAGGTCACTGTTGGGATAATCCTTTCCATGTTTTGTACAAGCAGATTTTCTTCAAGTTTGCAATGGTAGTGAAAGCTGACCTAAGGATATTTGGGTCATGCTGCTTGTAAATTTATGAACTTAAAGTTCATGTTTTTATTTGATGGAAATTATATTTTTCTTCAGGATTATTTTCCCTTGATCATTTCAGAATTGTCAGTGGCTTCCACCTGGGAATTTTTTTTTAAATAGCTGGATAAATATTTTATACTGGTGTTCAACTTTTATTTCCTGTTATACATCATGGCAATTATTATAACCAGACACATCTAAACTCATTCTGTCTCTTTGTACCTTGTTTTGCACTTTGTGATATCTTATGTAAGGAAAGAACTGCCTAAAATACTGTGTCTGTATGATAGGAAGCAAACAGTTTTTACTTTGCTTAAACAGTGTGCTGAAAACTGGTTTTCACTTACTTTACTGTTTTCATATGTAACTCATGCTGTGGGTTGTCTTGGCTACTACTAACTGTGTCAAGGGCTGCTTTTTCATGGGGATTCTTGGTCCAAGCTAATTGGCTACATGCATACATTAGTATAAGGATTATTAATTTTTAATTAACCTAATTCCACTTGACGAGTAGACTATTAGAGTCTTACCATACCAGTGATACACAGATTGTCTAAGAATACTGTATATATCAGTGTGCTGTAATTTCAGCTAACCATTGTTTACAGAACAAAAAAACTGAGCAGAGAGAGAATGTGTCATTCTATTTATTTATAAGATGCATGCATGTATATCCCCAAAGAAATGAGTTACTAAATACGGTCTTCATTGGATTTAGAAGTTTATCACATTTTATAGAGTCTGTATTCCCAGTCTGTGTTTCAAGAGATGATCTACTTGCTAAATAGTCTCTTATTCCTGAAGAATGGGAACAGAAGAGTTCTAAGGTCATTGGTATGGAGACTTGAAGACTGAAATAACAGAATCATAGAGTGGTTGAGGTTGGAAGGGACCTCTGGAGGTCATCGTGTCCAACTCCCCAGCTCAAGAAGGGCCACCTAGAACCAGTTGCCCAGTGTCATGGTTTAAACCTGGTCAGCAACCAAACACCTTGTAGCCGCTTGCTCACCCTCCCTGTGCCCCAGGGGTTTAGGGAGAGTTGGAGGGGGAAGGGTAGGAAGACTCATAGGTTGAGATAGAAACACTATTTGAAATAAAATAAAATAATAGCAATAATAGAAAATACAAATGAGCAATGTACACTGAGATTCCTCGCCACCCACCAACCAGTGCCCAGATAGTTTCAGGGTAGTGATCCCAGAGGAAAGAAAATCCCAAAACAACAATCCTGGAAGAGCCAGAGCACTTCCCCGCTAACCCTCATCTATATACTGGGCATGTTGTTCTATGATATGAAATATTCCATTGGCCAGTTTGGGTCTGTTGCTCTGGCTATGCTCCCAGCCAGCTTCTTGTGTGCCTGCAAGCTAGCAGGACATGGCAAATTGAAAAGTCCTTGATTTCTTAGCAACAACTAAAAACATCAGTATATTATCAACATTTATCTCATTCCAAAACTTACAATAAATCCAAAACACAGCACCGTTCTAGCAGCTAAGAAGAAAAATTAGCTCTATCCCAGCCAAAACCAAGATAGTACCCGCCCCTCATTCCGTACCACTTATGTTATGCTCAGGTTCCATGTTTTCCAATACATTCTAATTAATCATAATAATTTTTCCTGTTTTTTAGTATATGCACACAGATATCATTCCCTTAGTCTTTGGCTCATCCCTACAAAATGTGTAGTGAGTTCATTTAGTCCATAACTTTCGGTTCCATCTGTCATGACAGTCTTTCAAGGCAGGAAGGATGAGGCAGAGTTGGCTCATTCAGTGAAGTGGGTGTCACTGGATTGCAACAGGAGGATGGCATGTAGTCTCTCTTGTATGCTACATTTGGAGCTTGTTTCTGGTCTCGTGCTCATGGTCTGGGGGTTGAAGATGTTGAAATCAAAGAAGTTGTTGGGTTCCAGTTGCTAAAACTAGTCCTGACTTTATCAGTTTCTTTTTCATTAAGCTGGGTGATTCTTAATATGATGCCATTAGTATAATATATATCAGCCATAGCGATGATATTCAATGACAGGGTTGTTGAGCAATTAACATCATACATTTCGATTCATTGTTTTTTTTTTTCACTGAAAATCAAATCCCCTTGAGGCACACATCGGAATTCCCCATCCTTCTGCATCATTCACCAAGTGCACCCAGGTCCTTGGGCACAAGCAATCCCATGAATGGGTTTACCTTTACCTGAGGCAGGAATAACCCAGACTGTCTTTCCCAGCATATTTTTAATGTGCACTACAGGGACTTTATCCGTATCTGCAGTATGTAGAAGGCTTGACTGGGCAGGGCCAGCTTGATTGGCACATCTCCTAGCGTTGACTAACCAGGTGGCTTTTGCCAAATGTGTGTCCCAGCGTTTGAAAGTTCCACAGCTTTCAACAAAGTTCCACTACTCTTACTCTTGGTGTTAGTTTTAGAAATCCACTGTATTGTTTGATTTTACCAGAGGCTGGTGCATGATAGAGGATGTGATATACCCACTCAATGCCATATTCTTTGGCCCAAGTATCTATGAAATTATTTGGAAATGAGTCTCATTATCTGACTCAGTTCTTTCTGGGGCGTCATGTTGCCACAAGACTTGCTTATTAAAGCTCAGGAAAGTGTTCTAGGCAGTGGCATGGGGCACAGGATACATTTTCAGCCATCCAGTGGCTGGTTCCACCATTGTGAGCACATAGCATTTGACATACCGGGTTTGTGAGAGTGTGATATAATCAATTTGCCATGCCTCCCCATATTTATATTTTATTCATCATCCTCCATACTTCAGAGGTTTTAACTGTTTAGATTGCTTGATCACAGCACGTGTTTCACAGTCATGGATAACCTGTGTAATAATGTCCCTGGTTAAATCCACACCTCGATCACAAGCCCATCTGTATGTTGCGTCCCTTCCTTGATGGCCTGTGGAGTCACGGACCCAGTGAGCCATAAATTTTTCACCCTTATCTTGACAGTCCAGATCCATTCAAGCCACCTTAATCTTAGCAGCTTGATCCACCTGTTGGTTGTTTTGGTGTTCTTCAGTGGCCTGACTCGGGTACATGGGCATCTACATGACTTACTTCCACAACCATGTTCTCTACCCGAGCAGCAATATCATGCCATAATTCAGCCATCCACATGGATTTGCCTCTGTGCTGTCCATTGCTCTAGTTATGCATCTTCCCAACTTCTTACATACCTGCGCACTATCAGGACATGAGAAATTGAATCACAGAATCATAGCATGGTTTGGGTTGGAAGTGACCTTAAAGATTGTCTAGTTCCAACCCCCTGCCACGGGCAGGGACACCTTCCAATAGACCAGGTTGCTCAAAGCCTCATCCAGCCTGGTCTTGAACACTTCCAGAGAGGGGGCAGCCACAACTTCTCTGGGCAACCTCTTCCAGTATCTCACCACCATCACAGGGAAGAATTTCTTCTTTATATCTAATCTAAATAGACACTGTCTTAGTTCAAAACTGTTACCCCTCATCCTATCACTACATTCCTCAATAAAGAGTCCCTCCACATCTTTCCTGTAGCCCCCTTTATGTACTATAAGGCCTCTATAAGGTCTCCCCAGAGCCTTCTCTTCTCCAGGCTGAACAACCCCAACTCTCTCAGCCTGTCCTCATAAGAGAGGTGCTCCAGCCCCCTGATCATCTTCATGGCCTCCTCTGGACCTGCTTACGCAGGTCCATGTCCTTCTGATGTTAGGGGCCCCAGAGCTGGACATAGTACTCCAGGTTGGGGTCTCATGAAAGCAGAGTAGAGGGGGAGAATCACCTTCCTCAACCTGCTGGCCACGCTTCTCTTGATGCAGCCCAGTTGGCTTTCTGGGCTGTGAGTGCACATTGCTGGCTCATAGTCAGTTTTCCACCCACTAACACCCCTCAAGTCCTCTGCAGGGCTGCTCTCAATCCACTCCTCACCCAGCATGTATTTGTGTTTGGGATTGCCTCAATCCATGTGCAGGACCTTGCACTTGGCCTTGTTGAACTTCATGAGGTTTGCACAGGCCCGCCTGTCAAGGTCTGTCTGAATGGCATCCCGTCCCTCCGGCAAGTCAACTGCACCCAAACAGCTTGGTCTTGTTGCCAAACTTGCTGACAAACCTGCTGATACTGAATCCCAAGTCATTGATTTCTTAGCAAAAACTAAAATCATCAGTGTATTACCAACATTCTTCTCATACCAAATCTCATATTGAATCCAAAACACATCACTATGATAGCTACTAAAGAGAAAAGTTAGCTCTGAGATGAATCCAGGACACCCAGGACCATGTCCAGCTGCCGGCTTTTGAGTATCTTCAAGAACTGAGATTCTACAGCCCCTCTGGGCAACCTGTGTCAGTGCTTGGTCACCCTCACAGGGGAAAAAAAAACAACACCAAAAAAGCCAACCAAACAAACAACAACAAAACCAAAAACCAAACTGTTTTCTGATATTCGGACAGAACCTCCTGTGTTTCAGCTTGTGCCCATTGCCCCTGGTCCTGTTACTGGACACCACTGAAGAGAGCCTAGCTCCGTCTTCTTTGTGCCCTCCCTCCTGGTATTTTTATACATTGATAAGATCCCCCTTGAGCCTTCTCTTCTCCAGGCTCTCTCAGCCTTTCCTCATAGGAGAGATGCTGCAGTCCCTTAATTATTCTTGTGACCCTTTGTTGAACTCTTTCTGGTATGTCTTTACTAAGGAGCCTAGAAGTGGACATAGTACTCTAGGTTTGGCTGCTGGAGTGGCCGCTCACCAGTGCTGAGGAGAGGGGAAGGACCACCTCGCTCAACCTGCTGGCAATCCTTTGCCTAATGCAGCTCAAGATACCATTTGCTGCCTTTGCAGCAAAGGCACGTTGCTGGGTCACATTTGGCTTGGTGTCCACCAGGACCCCCAGGTCCTTCTCTGCAAAACTACTTTCCAGCATGTACTGGTGCAGGAGTTTATACTTACTCCTTGTTATGTTTCACGAAGTTCCAGTCAGCCCATTTCTGCAGCCTGTCAAGGTCCCTCTGGATTCAGCATGACCCTCTGGCTTATCAGCCACTACTCCCAGTTCTGTGTTATCAGCAAACTTGCTGAGGGAACTCTCTGACCCTTCATCCAAATCACTAATGAAGATGTTGAACAGGACTGGACCCAGTATTGACACCCCTAGTTACCGGCCTCCAGCTAGACTTTGTGTCAGGGATCACCATGTTCTGGGCCTGGCCATTTGGCCAGTTTTCAGTACACCTCAAAGGGAGTTCATATTGACTTGCACATGCAGGCTGTGCCTCAGACGTGCCTGCAGTAGATGTTTGCAGAACAAAAAGATTAAAGGTATGCTGCTGCTAGTCTCACACAAGCAGCAGTGTTCACCGCATACAAATTGCAGGTACCCAGATAAATAGAGGACAAGTCAGTTTATCTGTGACTACCCTACCTTGTGCTCAATCAGGTCCTAAGAATTTTAGGTTTCCATTTTTGAACAGAAAGCAATAATCTACATCACACCCTCAGATTTTGTAGATGTTATTAGTCCTTACTTTAATATGGTCCATGAACCTGTTTACACTGGAAAATGAAATTAAACTAATAGTGTCTCTTAACCTCTTCATATTAAGAGTGAAGACTTCTGTGATTACAGGGAAAAAGGCTAAGAATATTAAGATGTAATTTTCTTCATACTCTGAATCTTTTTTAATGCATGTATTTGAAAAGTCATAAATAATAATTTTTCTAGACAAGCTCATCCTAAATATCCCCCTTCTTTCTTTATGCAAAATTCTAAAATTAAGTGTAGAGTTGTTTTTCTGTTCTCTTGCTTCAGTCTGTATTGTTAATTACTACCTTAGATGATAGTGTTCACTGTAGGTTTCTTTTGAAAACTGACCAGAAAGCTCTTAAAATAATTATTTTGTATCTCAGCATAAATATCCACTGAAGGCCTACTTCCCTTACCATCACCAGCCTCTTGTAACAGCTTTACTCAGACATCCTTCTGGTAAGTTCCTTCATGAAATATTTGCAGCATTAGCCAACCTGCACAATTTGTATATGACTTAAAATAACTTTAGAAGGGATGAAGACACAGTTTTGCTATTTCCCGAATAGGGTGTGTTGGCTTCGCAATTTTAATAATACTCTTTTAATGTGTTTTTTGTAGGAACATTTAATTTTTATGTAACAATAATACAGATGTAACTTTAAAGAACACTAAACCAGAAGTGAATAACAGAGTGCATAATTTTGTAGGAATGAAGACAAGTTACTGACATTGTAAAAATACTAATTATCTTATAATATTAGTAATTGTCATTATGAACATTTTAGTATGTATATTGCAAGAAAGAGCCTTGCCGTTTGAATCTTGAATTCTGCTGATATTTTAAGTTGCAAACCTAATATTTTTTTTCAGGTTTCCCATTTTTATAGATCAAGAAACCACTGTTCAATATGGTACAGCTTTTCATGAACAATAATTTCAGCTTACTACAAGAGCCTCTGAGAATGTTACTCCACTGATTATATATTAATATCGAGGTAGCATTTACACAAGGGTACATCAGCCTAGTTTGAATATTCTTAACTGTACTTCCTCATATGGCTGTGCCAATAAATTGTTCTGAGAAACACAGTAGTAGGTATTGTTAAAAATCATTAAATATTAAAATTATTTTTTAAATGCTTTGTGGTAACAATAAAGTTGCACAAATTCTAATGCTAGCTTAATATGGTTAATTTCACTGTTCTGTTCTAGTTGAACAGACTAGAATTTTAACAGTTTTATTTTCATCCTTCCTCAGAACTGCCAGCTAGACACTGGTCTCAACACTTGAAACACATTTCTGGTATGCTCAAAGCATTAGTAGAAGATACAAATTTTACGTAAGTAGTGTTGTATTTTCTAACTTTTTGTCCTTTGCATATGTTACTTTGTGAAAAGTCATGCCATTTGAAGTCTTTACTGGTTACTTTTCATAATTTTCTTATTATTCTCTAGATAGAGGGGTTTTTTTAAAGAATAGGACTTAAATTTCTTACTGAACCTGAACTTTGTAGCACCTATAAACCTGACTGATAAGCTTCTGAGTGAACAAAATCTTGTTCTCTTCATTTCAGCAAATAGCTAGCTGTATAACACAAATTCTTACTTACCTATTCTCCAGTTTCTCCTCCAAAACTTTTAAAACTGATTCTGGATTGAGTAACAAGGGAACTTTTCAACCAGAAAAGCAGCTAGTATTGAAAAAAGCGGTTATGAGCGGTACTGTTTCATGAAGGAGCTTGTATTTGCTTTCTTCAGGCTTGTGAAAACATTCAAACTTCAAGCTTCTTGATTTTTTTCATATAGATGTGATTGCTCGACTGCAGTGTTGTTGTTATATTACTCTCTGAGCTGACCCCCCATGTTTCTGACCTGTTGCCCTTAGCCTTTTTTGTCCATATAGTTTCTGTAATGAATGATAGTGGTTATCTACATGAATTCTGCTTTGGTAGTAGATGCTCTAGGATTATATGAAAAGAATGAAAAAGGATACATCTGTATCTGTTTCAGCCCTGTAATTCTTTCTTATCAGGTGTGTGATGAGACCTGACTGGGCTAGAACTGGAATATGAGTCTGCTTAGACCTGCTCTGAGACTGATCTTTCAAAAAAATCTTGAACAGCTTTTAAATTCAAAGAAACCAAATTAATTTTGATTTAAAACCTGAACTATTTCAATAGAAACTTAGAATGCCTAGGCCAGGTAGACCTGGAAAACAAGCTATCCAGCTGTCCCCCTGTGTCCTGGAAGACAGCTACTTGAATTCATGCTTGGTTTCAGTTGGCTCATGGAGGCTTTTATTTTTGTTGTTGAGTGGCAGAAAAAAGCATTTTGCTGTTCCCTCTGAGGCCAGGCTGTCTCCTGGCAGCTTCTCACTTTCTGTATGAGCTGCAGTTCAGTGTTTTGTCTCGCCTGTTCGTCCCTGAAGTCTGTCAAACCCTTCCGCCCTTGGAGTGTGACCAGTAGCTGACCCTGGCTTCTTAAAGAAACACATAACTCAAGCTTAGAACAAACAAATAAAATAAATATCACCCATCATAATGTGTTACAATAATAGAAGCATGTCTCTTCTGCTTTTGTTGCCTAGCCTTTTCTTGGCTTATATGGTCTTTTTCCCCCCTTTGCTTTGATAGTACACTGGTTTGAATAGTATTGTACTTGCCAGAATATCCTCTTCCTTTAGAACTCACGCAACAATAATGTTTTCTACCAAATGCCTCTCAGTTACAAAGAAAACGAATCTGGCTTAAGTTTTTAAATACTGCTATCCATGAGGAAACTGTATCAAACTTTCTTTTATTGCTTTATTCCTGATTCTGCATCCTTTCTACTTAATAAGATTAACAGAGGAGCAAAAAATACTGCTATAAAGCATATCTTCTTACTTCTAATAGTTATTGCTCTCTGTCTGTATAGCCTGTTTTTCAGTGGTTTTATTTTACACCACATGTAAGTCTTACAGCAAGGTGCTTTCTGTATACTTGTAATCAACAGATTGCTTCTGTGTCATTATTCATTACTATATGTAGTCATCTCAGTGAACAGCAAATGTTATGTGACATTTTAAACCAGAAATCAACTGATGCAGGGGAAAGTCCCAGAAAAAACAAAGGGGCACTTTTGATGATAACAGTGGAGCAGTTGACATAGGTGCCACTACAGAGTGGGCAGAAACAGCAGTGGAGACAGAAGTGGAGAGTACGTGACCCCGAATCAGTCTCTGTGACTGTACAGGAAAGTTATGTTGAGTTATAAGTGCAGTGGTGCAAGGGCTGTCTAGGCAAGAATCAAATTCTATTCTGCTAAGTACCTGTTAAAATTAGTTTAATGCTTAAAGTTTAAGGACTTGTACTTACCCTTTGAGCTATGAACACTTCCAGTTGTAAATATGGTCAATATTACACTAAATATAGTTATCTAGTCTCAGTAATTAACATTTAATTAAATTTAATCTTTGATTGTAAATCACTGGGTTTCAACGCTAGCCTGTCCACTCACATTGTCACAGCACTGAATTATGGTCAGATAAGTAAGTTATTTTGCTGAGGGGAGGGCTGTTGTCCTAGATCACTATCACATTTGTTTCTTTTTTCAAAGGTTTTTAATGTTGCATTTCCAGATTCTAGTATCTTCAAGGACTTTACCAGTGCTGATCCTGTTCCTTTGGCTAAGGAATTTTAGTCTCAGATTTTGTCACACATCTCTAGTTCCCTGCAGTCTGAGCCATGGTGCTGCTCCTCCAAAAGCAATGGAATATCATCAGTGGTGACTTTTACAGCCATCACCTCAGAACTCTGTTTTCTCTCTATGACTATGTCAACCTCCTATGTCTGATGTCAGTGATTATGCTTATCCCAAAGTAATGACGTGGTAGATTTGTGTCCTAGGAATCTGATTTTAAGGCCCTGAGATTCTGTAGCATCTAGCAAGTGTCATTTACAGGATCAGTAATTTCTGGGACACCTGTAGACAACATCAGTCATAGAATACTGTCTGCACACACCACACCTTCATGCATAAAATTGTGCCTTCCACCTCTTCAGAAAGTCTTAAAGCAGTCTATTCCAACTATGACTTTGTCACGTACCCCAGGTGATGTGATGGTATCAGACAACTTCATCAACTCCTGAAATTTCTGAGATCTCTTGGAGTTTTGGGGGAGGGCTGGCACAGCAGCACATGGAGTCCACAGGAATAAAACATAAAAAGCCCTCTAATTCTTCAAATTTTTGCCAAACTTAATAGTAATAATTGTTTCTGGTTCTTAATCTCCTTCCAATTGTCCTCCTGACTGTCCATCCTTCCACACTTGGTTCAACTTTATGCTTTGGAGATGTCTACCATTAGTTTGCATCTCCCTATTACTTCTCTTTTATTTAGTCTTAACTTTAGAAGAGTGCATGTGAGAAAGTGTAGAGATGAGCTGTGGTATATTGTCACCTTTCTTGCTGCAGTAAAACAGTTGTAAATACATTCAAAATTTACATTAAAGAAGAGCCAAATTTTAAGAGTCAGGAGATGAATATCCTTAAAAACTTTATATTTAGTCCAGCTAAATGTAATTTGTCATGAATTACCAAAAAAACACATGCCTCATGAATTACCAAAGACCAGAAAATAACCCTGGAAAGCAACAGAGAAATTGGAAGACATTATAAGGCAAGAGTGTTTTAGAATACAACACTTGAGATATGACTTAAAGTTCTGAAAATCCTTTATTATGCATATTTTAATACATAATATTTTGTTACTGTTGATTAGAAACTGGTGTTATGGATAGTCTGTTCTACCGATGAAGTTAATCTGTTAGTAGTACTGGGTGTGTCTCATTTGATTGTGACTGCAGATAATAGAGTAGTACATGGCTGTATGCTTAGCAGGTAGGGCATTATCTGTTGAAGAGTAGTTTAAGGATTTTTATTTTCATGCCACCACCCTTTGCAGTTAACGTAAGACATTTAAAAATGTTAAATAACAAAAAATACTTAATTGTATTGTTGTTATTTTCCAGTTCTCTTGCTGACCTTTTTGAAATCTGGTTTTTGGTTGCTCGGTTTGGAGAATGGCTGGATATTGCAGCAGAACAATTAGTGAAGGCTGATATAGAACCAAATGCTTTGCTGTGGCTGCTGGCGTTTTACTACTGTCCTCAGAATGAAAATCAACAAAGGACTCAAACAATGGTGAGTAATGCAGTGATAGTAAGCAGCAATAAACAGTCAATAGTCTGCTTATATCTTATTGCTGTAAAACAACCACTGCATACCAGAAAAATTGAATGTCTACACCAAAGAAGGTATTGTCTTCACAAGGTCTCCTGGGAATTGTGTTTCAGTGGTGAAGTTGAAAGATAATTTTGGTGGATTTTCTTGGTGACATTTAGAAAAAAAATTTCCTCTTTTTAAAGTACATTATATAGATTAGCATCTTCTTGGCTTTGTTTTGGATAACTTGAGTGCTTTTAGTCACACATAAAACTACACTAGGAATGGTAATTTTTAAATCACTATGTGGCAGAATTTGGCATTCCTGTGTTATGACATCATCTGAGAAGGAAACACAAGAGAAATCACAACAGCAGTCGAAGCAGTAAAAATACTTACCAGACACAGCCCTGAATCCTGTCCTTACCTATCTATTCTGATTTCTTTTATGTGTCTTCACTGATTTTTGGCATGTATGAGATTGTAACAAGTATATTATATTCCCATATGCTAGATTACTAACAGAAGGAAGCAGTGATATAACCTCACACACTGTACTGCATGAAGATGTCTGTGTATGCATACAAATACATGTAAAGCCTTCAATTTAGACCTATTATGCAAGTTTGAACTAGGCTAAGCAATCTTATCTACAAAGCCCAGATTCAAAATTTGGCTGCAACATCTCTAGTTTTCCTTACTTTGAAAATGGATTCTGTTTGATTTAATAATGCAGCTCAGTACATCATGCTAGTAAAACATCATGCTTTCATTTTACATCTAATGGTCCATGTACAACAGTGTGTTCTGCAAGATTTTATTTCCTTCCCTTCCCGTCCTGCCACCCAGATGGAACTACAAATGGGAGTGTACATCCCAGTCACTTTTTTTTTTTTTTTTTTTTCTCGTTAATTTCTTATAGTCTAGGAGTAGGGGTGGGATGCTGGCTGAGCAGAGTTAGGTTAGGGCTGCAGTGATGTCAAGAAACCAAGGCTGGTTTTAGGATGCAGTTTTGGGAAGGAAAGCAAAACGCAAGCAATAAAGGCCAGACTCAGTGAAAAGATGGAGGACTCTTCATTCAGCATATTTTGGGGGAAAAGGTGTACACTCATGACTTAAGATTTTGTCTTCTTGCTACTTTAGGTAGCAGCTTATATATCAGCAAGAGTGGAATACATAGGATTAAAATGATTTAAAGATGAAAAAGGCTACTCTTCTTGTTCACAAGACTTCACTCATGCACAGCACTGAATATTCTGCTCAATATTTATTCATTTGTTGGAGTCCTTTCATACCTTTAGACTCCAAAACATGGGAGGAACAAAACTTGGAGGTTGGTCATAGTAACTTTGGCACTAAGAACATGCCTGCTAGCATATGTGAGCTCATGGAGCAGAGCTTGCTAGTATCAGTCTTCAGTCTCTTGCACGTGGGATGGAGGCACATCAAGAATAGGATCCAGAGAGTGATAAAGAATCTTGGAGAATTCCAGTCTCCTTTCTTTAGGTTCTGGTATAACTTGTTGCCTCACAGGTAATGGTGGACATAATTTAAGAATAACATATTTTTCAGACTATTTTATATCAAATTTTTAATAGGGCAGAGATGAGAAAAGCAAGGTCAGGTACATGACTGAAACAAATTGTCCTAATGAATATGGTTGAGAAACGGTTGTCCTTTTCCTTTGGGTCTGCAGTGGTATATTGTTCCATTGTTCCTACACTTACTCATTTGGGGGTTTTGTACCAGTTTGTTTTTAATATAGTGAACAGAAGTATTGTTAGGATTTTTTTGCAGTAGTTGCTTGTAGTTCTTTTTCCATTGTGTAGGTGCCAAAATCTTCTGTTCGCTACTCCCAGTAAAAATTAGCTTTTATTGGCTAACTCAAAAGGTAAAAAAGTAAGTTGCAAACAACACAGGAAGAAGGAAGAAACTGCATTCTTACCAGAACATTTTATCAGCCAAGGTCAGGTTGCATGAGGATTTAATTGATTTGTAGCAGCAATATTGAAATGAGCCCTTGAGGAGGCTCTGTTCCTTTTCCCCACAATGCAAAAATCTGATCATGTTCTGCTGAGGGACTTTCTCCATTTCCTTTTATTATTAAAAAAGGTCAAATCCTGGCTCAATGCCCTGCCTGCTTAATTTGCAAGACCAAAGTAAGTTAAAAAATCCATTCTGTCCACCTCTGTGTGTGTGTGAATCAGTATGAGAAATGCGTACAGCCCTTCCTTCCCTGTTCTCCCTGCTGCTCGTATTCAAACTCTTTAATGTTTGGGTAGTTTCTGCCAAGAATTCAGTTTCCTGTTAGTGAATAAATCCAAAGGAAAAATACAATAGGTATGACCTTTACTCTTCTCTGATCCTGCATCTTTTGAAATTGCTCCCCACAGGTAGAAGCTCAAGAGGTCTGCAGTCATCTAATGAGGCTCTTCAGGTGTAGAATCAGTTCTGCCAAATATCTGAAGGCTGCTGTACTCAATGTAATGTCTATAGAGAAGTTTTATAACCCCCATCTTATGGTATATCTTCTTACCAACATTTTGCTCTTTTCTTCTGATGGACATATGTTTGCCCAGGAATTTGTTTACCAAGTAAGTATTTCTTCCTTTTTTTCAGTTTAAGTAAAACTTCGTGTTTTTTGGTTTTGTTTGTTTTTTTTTTTTTTTTACTGTTTTGGATTTAAGTTCCTACCTCCTAATAAAGAAAACACATAACAGACAATTAAAGAAGATCATGACTACAGCAACTATACCTAACCTGCTACATACCTGTTGTTCATTTACATTTGGCGTAGATAGCATGTGCAAACATTTTGCTTTTCCCAGCTATAAATCACTCCCTTAATTATCCAGCTGCTGCAGAGATGATGGGACTGTCTTATCTCTGTTTTTCATTACATTTCTTTAGCCAGTTACTAAGCCTTAGCATTGATGAGGCAGAAGCTTGGTGCTTTAGCAAAGCCAGAGGGGAAAGTGGTGTGATAATTGAGAGATAAAAAGAAGGAAAACCTGACAAAAGTGTCACTTAAGGTGTGACAAAAGCTGAAGAAGAGTAAAATGTGGGACGCTGCCACAGTAGCTTGCTATTGTTGATGAGACCCTTCAGGTAAATTGGTGCTTTCAGGTAAATTGTCTCTTATGATAAAGAGTGCTCTCATCATGACATTAGGAATTTATTCCTCTCTAACTATAAAACCATACTTTTTTAAGAAGTTCAGGCCTCCTGTGCAAGCAGGTCTTAGGGCCAATGTGTGATTTTAGCACTTCCAAAAGTTTTTCCTTTCAGCAGCAGTGTACTCTTCCATCTGTATAGTGTATATGGCATCAATAAGGAGTGTGATTTTATGACGCAGGGAACTGGAAACCTATTTTGGTGGTTATTCCTCTGGCTGACTGAACAGATGTAACATACGTAACATTCTTCTGTTTAAGAAGGACTAAGATATTTCTAACCTTTTAGGTGTAATTTCACAAGTGATAAATTTCGTCTTAGTATAAGAATGAAATGATAAAATTAGGGGGGTTGATATGTATTTTTACAGTCTGCTGGTTTTAGTTTCTCTGTTGAGGAGTGTGGCTGTTGAGCAGAGGTGCCATAACATACTAGCCTGCTACTTTAAACCTCTTCAGGAAGACCGAAGGCAATTTTTTGTTTACTTATAGAAAGCAACGTAATTAACTTTCAAAAGTCCTGAGTATTCCCCAGTGCGGGGTGGTCATGAACTATTGTAGGCCAGAGTATGTCAGTCTGATTAATTTTGACTGTGTCTGTGTAATCATTATTGTGTAGCTAGGCCTTCTATGTTATTTGAAAAGGCTTGAACACAATATATGAAAGGCAGAATGGTGTGGAGCCAAATTTGGATGCATGGCAGTGGTTTTGGTTAGCATAATAAACTTTGGGATTAACACAGCAGATAACATGGTGTAAAGGCCCATCTGATCTGCAAAATTGCTATTTAGGGTATTTTCCTGGTACTTTGTCATCTTTTGGAGAAGGGATTTATTTTTACTTTCGAAAGCTTTACAGAATTGAATTGTCTCCCCAAACACACCCAAAACCTTAATGGGCTTTTAGTTGTTTTTTAAGGAGATCACTTCTAAATGGTTACACTGTCTGTCCATTTGTGTTTCTTTTAAAAACTTTCTGACCTCTTGATTTGTTTCACATAAATTTTAGAGAACAATAGAAATCTCAAAGTTGCTCAGCTCTGCCAAGATGTATGGAAAGAGATGCCTTGAGCAGAAGTTGCTTTTGAAATCAGAGCATCTCAGGTGTTCAGTAGTGAGGGACAAATCTGTGGGTTTTTTGCAAATATTAATGAGGCATTCTTAGTATTTAGCAACATAATTGCATTATTTCCCCTCTTGTCTGTTTCCCTTCAGGTTAATAGGAAAACTGGTGCAAGCAAAGAAGTTTATAGCGTTCTTATCCGTATGGCATACAGAATGCGCCGTAATGGAGAAGAAAACAAAATGACTATGAAGATGCTGAATGAAATTCTTCAAAAACTAACATTGAAAGTTTAGCTTTTTAATACCATCTATTTATCAAGTCAACAAATGGTATCTTTATTTAGGTGTCAGACTTTCATTAAAGTCTTGCACCACAGGTTACCAAGGGTAGAAAAATTTCTACTTAAGCATACCTCACAACTTTGTATTTTGTCATATATATATTTGAATATAATCCTTTGTTTGGAAATGTTAACCTTCTAGAACATAACAGTAACTATTAAAGATGGTTGAATATTTTGTTCTGAGCACCTTCTTTAACAAGAGACCTATGTTATTTAAAGCAGTTCACTCATTTCCTTGTTTATCTGGCTGAGAATCAGTTTTTCTTCCAAATTACACAGGGTTCTATTACCAAATCATATCCAATAGCTTGGTTGTTAAGTTGTTCCTACAATGTTTTGTTCTATAATTCTGCTTTTATGGAACTAATGATGATCTCAAGTGAGAGTTAGTGATTCATGGTGAATGCACTCTATGTTCTCAGGAAATCAGCGATGTTTCCTGAACTCTTCAGTTCTTTTTGAAAATGTTTCCAAAATGAAACTCCTTTCAGATTTGCTAAATTATTTGTTTTTTTCAGTACTGTAGCTTTCACAGGACAGTGTTCTCCTCAAAGTACTATACCAGTAGCTGGTCTCTCTCAACAGATGCTGTGGGTAAAAGGTTGTTTGCAGTACAGCCTATTTTCAGTTTGCCATGACTGAATGCTCTTGTTTATTCATTTAAGAAATCTTTTTTCATTTAGACAAAATAGGGCAAGCACAACATAGGCATAAGGAAACTTCCCAGTTTGAGGGCCAAATTTCCTAAAGAGAGCATATGGTTACAACTCATCTCCTTCCTTTTTGTGTCCAGAGGTAGTTTGCTTGCTTCTTTCTTTAGGTTTTTCGTCTCATTCAAAGAGCATGGACAGGGAGCAATGGCCTACTGTTTTACCCTTAGGAAGGTATTCATCTCAGAAAGTTTTGTGAACCTTTTCTCTAGCTTAACTAGAAAAAAACCCATAGAGAATAGTAATGGTAGAGTATTTTACTCTTTGTCCTGGTTTTGTCTGGGACAGGGCTAGTTTTTCTTTTTAGTAGATAGGATAGTGCTGTGCTTTGGATTCAGTATGGGGTTTGGTATGAGAAGAATGTTGATAAGGCACTGATGTTTTTAGTTGTTGCTAAGAAATCAGGGACTTTTCAACTCCCTGTGTCTTGCTAGTGTGCAGGTGCACAAGAAGCTGGGAGGGAGCACGGCCAGAGCAGTGGGCCCAAATTGGGGAATGGAATATTCCATATCATACATCGTCAGTATATAGATGAGGGTTGGCCGGGAAGCTGTCTTACTTTTCCAGGATCACGGTTTTGGGATTTTCTCTCCTCTGGGATCACTAGCTGGGAACAGGCTGGGTATCAGTCAGCAGGTGGTAAGCAATCATGATGTGCGTTACTTGTTTCTATATTCTATTATTATTATTTTAATATTACTTTATTTCAGTTATTAAATTGTTCTTATTTCAACCTACGAGTCTCCTTACCCTTTCTCCTCCAACCCTCTCTCCCCATCCCTGAAGCAGGGGAAGGGTGAGCGAATGACTGCGTGGTGTTTGGCTGCCAGCTGGGTTTAAACCACGACAGTCTTTTCAGTAATTTCTCATGTATTACCTATCTTTAATATCAACACTTGTGCCATGTTCAAAAAAGCTACTGAGAATACTATTCTTGCATAAAATGAGAGGCATGTATCTTAACACAGCTTTCTGAATGTAGCACTTGTTTGTGAGCAAGGGAAAAGAAAAACAATGTCCTTAGTGTCCCTTGGCTGTAAGAAGTAGAAGGATATTTTCTGTGATGCTGTTGACTGATTTCTTACATTTTTGTTCCAAGTGAGTCATAGTGGACCAAATTACAGAAGTTACATGGCCTCTCAGTCAGTTTGGTAATGTTTGTAATATTTTATTCCAGCGTATGAAGAAATAGTAAATATGTAAAGTATGTCTGTGAAGAAAGGAGGGTTTTTGTCTCTTTTTGGATTCAAAATATTTCTGAATGAAAAATCAGAGATATGTTGCAATTTTTCAGTTGTTGATAGCCACACATTTCTGAAAAAGACAGATCAAGCAACCAGTTTTCTATTCCCTCAATATCATAACAGAAAAGCATGGGATTAAACTAAATTATTTGTTGATCACAAACTGAGGTATTTGTTTAATGGGAACATGTGTGGAAAGCTCTACCTAGAATGATAAATAACCTAAAATTTGTCTCCAAAGGAAAAATTATTTTTTTAATTATTTCTAATCCAGTTGTTAGGTGTGAGATTCTTAGGTTGTCCTTAAATTCTCTCCATATTACAACTGTAAGTAATTTCAGCTACTTAAAGATTGGCAAAGAGTTGCAATATATGACTCTTGCAGATTTGTTAGGTGAATTATATGGGTATATATGTGTATTACAGTTGTTGGAGATGAATTTGTAATCATCCTTTCACAGTGCAATCTTTTTATTTTCCACCACCAACATGCATGAAAATTCTTCTAACTTTGTTAAACAAAATCAATATCCTGTTAAATGGTGGCAAATCAATTCAAGCAGGAAGGAAATGTGCAGTGAAGGCAGAAAGAACAAAATTAGTAGTAAATTGGTACATTCTTGTTTTCCCGTGTTTGACTTCTGTTGTAGTCTGAGCTCAGAGACCAACTGAGCATCACACAGCTGCTCGCTTCCCCTTCACTCCCAGAGATGAGAAGGGGAAAATAATCCAGGCTTGGGATTTAAGATAGGACTGAGAGGGGCAAATCGCCCACTATGGTCACAGGCAAAAGACAGACCCATTAGGGGAAAGAAAAAAAAAAGAGCATAGATTTATTACAGACACTAACAGCAACACTTAACAGAGTAGGACAGTGAGAAGCATTGCCACATCTTAAGAACACCTTCCCCCCACCCCTCCCTTCTTCCCGGGCTCAGCTCTGCTCCCGATATCTCTACCTCCTCCCCCAGTGGCGCAGGGGCAGGGAATGGGGGGTGCAGTCAGTGCTGCCATTTCTGCCATCTCAGAAGAGGGTGGAACTTCTGGAACTTGTTCCCTGGGCTCCAGCATGTTTCCTCTCTCACAGCAGACAGTCCTCCACAAACTTTCTCTGACTGGATTCCCTCCCACGGCTGCAGCCCATCCCGAGCTGCTCCAGCGTGGGACACCCCCGCATGCTGCAATCCTCCCGGTGCTGAACTACAACAGAAGGGGCTGCTTCTTCCCACAGGGTCCCAGCTGGCTTTGGGTGCAGCCACCTTCCTAGGTTGTGTGGGGCCCCTCACAGGCCATAAATCAGTGTCTGCTCCACCGTAGATCTCCATGGGTGGCAGGGGGGGCCGCCCTGCTGTCTCACCACAGGATACAGGGGGGTCTCTGCTCCGGCACACCTCCCCCCTCCTTTCTTCCTCCGTTCCCCCACTGACCTTGGTGTTCACGCAGCTGCAGCAACTCCTCCTCACAAGTCCCACTGCTCGTCACCATGTCCCTTCTTAAATACGTTATCGCAGAGGCGCAGCTGGCAGAGGTGGGTCTGGCTCGGAGCCGGGGGAGCTTTGAGAAGCTTCTCCCTGGGGCCACCCCTGTAGCCCCCTCCCCTGCTACCAAAAACCCCACCACTCACTCAAACCCAGGACAACTTTTTAAGAAATAATGCATGATTTAAATATTACAAGGAGGGTTTGCTTGTTTCAGGAGACTTTAAGGAAGAAACCTAATTGATGCTTTCTGTAACTTTCAAAAGTTATATCTGTACCGATGTTCTTTTTGCTTTATTTATTTTTTTTAATCTTTGGTATTTCTTTTTCCTTGCTTTTTCACAGTGCTTGAATTATGATCTAACTTTGATATAAACCGTGATTTTATGGGATGTTGAAGTTACTTTCATTAGTTTGCTAGTGGAAGGCAACAGTGTGATTTGGTAGATCCGAGTTATGGAGGATTTCTCATGTGGTTGCTCCTGCATTATCCATCTAACATGCATCTTCTCTGTAATCACTGCTTACTGGAAAAGTTCTTTGGAGCCTTCAGGCCTGTACTTTTATGCAGAACCAGCCGACGAGTCCTGAGATCAGGCTTGAAGTAGCATGTTCCCTCCCCTTCCAATCAACATGTCATCACACACCCTAATCCTGGATTTTATACTGAATATAGATATCTTTTCAATTTTTTTCTGCTTCAAGGAGTTTCAAGTAAGAATATAAAGAGTAAATTTTTACTTATTTGTTGATAATGCTTCTTTTCAGTCTAAATTACAGCTTTTTTAATCCTGCAGGCTTTCCAGAATGGGACTGGATGTTTTTTATGGATTTTCTTCAGAAAAAAGCCACTTCTGTGGCTTTCATTCAGCCAAGATCTCAGTACAGTGCATATACAAAGCTGAATACATTTCATTTTGTGAGGTATGGTAGGAACAGGTATGTTACCAAGTATTGCAATTTATCTGACCAGCTATAACATGTTAATCTGTTTACTTCTGGAATTTGTAATCAAGTTTCCATATTCACAGCATCGGAAGTGCAAAGAGGTGTTAATAGAGAGTCAGACTGAAGATGAAGCTGAATTAATATTAATTTTGGTAAGTTAGAGTTCATGCCATGGTGTTATATATGTTTGGCTTGGGGTTGGTTTTGGGAGGAGACAATCCAAAAAAAAATATGAAGCATTATACAAGTTTAGAATGAATCATCTAGCAAAAGTGACTTGCAATTATTAAACCAAACACTACAGACACAGGTTTACTCCATTTCTTTGCTGTATTATCCAGCGACAGAATAAAATGATAATGTTCTGTGTGAGTGAATAATGTCATGCTAATCAAAATCTAGTTTTTCTTGTGATATAAGAAGGATGTAGGAAGGTGAGAAATTCTGACAGTGAAGTGCAGCTTTCTGCTAGACCAAAGTTTGAAAAGTCAAACCCTGGAATATTATGGGAGGAGCCCTCCATCAGAGCAGCCAGCACGTTTTTGAATCCATGTTTTTATACTTCTCAGATAGTCTGCAATGGCTTCGTTACGCAATCGGCATGTTTTCCTGGGCAACACCAGAAGTTAAACCGCCGTAGCTGAATTAGCTGCTGCTAGAGGCACCCCACTAGCAGTTAATTCATAGCAGTATTCACATGTGGGCCTGTTTAAGTCCACCTACATCTCTGGCAAGTTTTTCTTACTCATGCTACAATTTTTCCTTAAATGCTTGCCTGGATTTAAAAGATACACTCGTGGTGGCCATTTTATTTGCTGCCCTAGCAGAGAGTAGCTTATTTTGGGAATTTGCTGTTAGGTGGTCTGTTCACTAGTGAATGCCAAAAAGGAGTTTCCCTTGCTTGCATTGGCCATCTTCATTTAACCAGTGGTCTGGCTGGAAAGGAATAAACATCATGAGCCCCTTCTGATAGCTTAAGTGTGCTGACAGTGACTGGATCCTTTTAGCAGCCAGGAGCCAGCTAGGGATAGGAATTGGATTGCCATCAGCCACTGAAACAAAACTTTGAAACGTCAGCTGGCTGTAGCCGAGTTGTAGCAATACACTTTGTAAGCATGGATTGTGCCTTAGTTTGCATTTTATATTCTTGCATGTGTGTGAAGGGAGAGAGGGTGAAAAGGAAGAAAAAACCCAACATGATGAATCTCAGTTGCAGAAATTTAGCTGTGATTTTTATATTCAATTTAATTGTAATACTGGTAGGATTGGGAAATAACAATTCCATAGAAGAGAGTTAACCTGAACATCAACAAGTAGCAGGAAAAAATCCAGCAATACCACGTCTTTAATAGGTCTGTACATTTAACTAACTTCCTAGCTCTTAACAAATCTTGCTATTTTAAATGTGTGTTTCATAACTCTTCTGCATTATGTTGGATAGACTCATTTCATAAAAAAGCAGCCCCTCAGAAACAATGACCCTCTCTTTTCTATTATTTTGAATTTCAGTGTTATGCCCATCAACTTTTGCAATGCTTATTGCCATCCTGAAAAGATCACATTTTTACATATTCCTGATCATAATGAAAAGTTCCTCTGTTATCCACATTCTGAATTACACTGTCCTTGAGATTTCTCATGTGTATGTGCCAAATCAGCCTGTATATACAGCTTCTTCACTCCTTGCTGGTTTGATTTTATTTCTTAGTTTGTATGTTTATTCTGAGGCTCCCAAAACAGGTGCATGTAATATGTCATTTCCATGCTACTGTTAAATGCTCCCTTAATATTTCACCCATGAGAAAGCAGCTTTTATTTGTTTTGACTAATGATGCTGTAACTTCTACCACATATAAGTTCTCTAAAGATAGGACTTCCATTTATTATTCCAAACTAACTTTTAATGGTAGCGGAAGATATGAATTTCCCATCTGCATTAACATTCCCAGTAGAGACTACCAGTAAGTGTTTAAGTGCTTTTAATCTCATGATTGTGCTGCACTTCCATATCAGCTTGAGATGTCTGCAAATAGAGGGAAAAGCCAGTATCAAATTCCACTGAAGAGGAGAGAAGCCTTGAAATTTGCTACAGAACTAATTCTTAAGATGGAAAGGAATGATATGTGTGTCTGCGAATTCAGGCATTATTTGTGAATTTCTAGTAGGCAGGATCATTGCCATATTTTTTGGAGACACAACAAAAATACAATTGTTATCTCCATAGACCACTAAATTTCTTCAAATGCATTGCAAAATCTACTATTATGTTTCATCTTTCTTGTGGGTTTGCTTCTTTGCTAAAACACAAATGATCAGTGCTGAGCAATACACTGTATAGCATACTTTTAGGGCCAGAATGAATTGCTATAGTTGCTTGCCTTGGCCTGCTTGACCTAGACCATGAAAAGATACTGAGCAAATGTCAAGCCCAAACCTTGCAATTAAGCTATAGCATCCCTTTTGGAAATAGAATTCTGTTGGGATTTAAAGGTTTCAGATGATAGCTGATGACTGTTTTTCATCATAGCTTTTCTGATCTTAACTTCTTTTCAACAGTTTTGCTTCTGCTTGCTGTGTTGGCAGAGCGAGCTCTCAGACACAGTTACTCTTTAGCCATAAGCACTGCCTTTTCTTTCTCTTCACCCTCTCCTCCTTTCTGCCCAGGATCCAAGATGAATGTATGTATGATCCATAATGGGTTTCTAGGAGTAAGTGAATCAAGCAACCAAAACCAACCGGTTTTTGGTAGGCTAAGTTAGGTAATGGTGCAAGTCATCCAGTGTGCCTGTCAGGGAAGGTGAAGATACACATCAGCCCCTGTGTGTCCCTATGTGTGTGATGCCAGTTCTGCTTCCAGGCACTACCCTAGAACAAATTTTGTTTGTAGTTTTAACACTTAATTACTGTTAATTTACACCCATAAAGTTTATTTTTTGTAAGATTCACTTTGTTCTGCAATCTGTTGTGCCTTTCCAGCAGCTGAGCTAGAGACAATATTTCCTTTTTTACCTCTTCTCTGTGGATGGGCAGGCTGCAGAAATGGCAGATCCAATCACCTTACCTTTTCTATTTTATTTTTAAGATGGAATACCCAGAAGTTATGCAAACATCACAGAACGAGGAACTTGCATATAAGGTCACTTATGAACTGAATATCTGTTCTTTATGAGATCCTTCACATACATACTTATGTCTAACCACACAGCAGTCTCTAAGTCAGCTGTTCCCTGCCCTGATTTCTTCAGACTTGTCAAACTTAATTGTCATAGAATATTGAAAGAGAAAGAGAGTTTGGTATTACATCCATGCTGTCTCCCCTCTGCTTCAAAAATCAGGCATTTGAACAGACCAGTAATGGTATCCCACTTAAACAGTAACTCTACTTTGGGACAGTTCTTCAAAATGTACTGCAGAGTCTGGCAATCTACATGTATTTAAAGAAAATATGGAAAGGACAGCTAAATGACATCCTGTTGTGGTGTCACTTTCATAGTCTTCCTATCAATTCAGTTTTCTTTTGTGAATCTGAAAGACAGTATAGCTCTGATTTTTCAGACATTCGGAATAAGCTCCTCTTTCCTGAGTGCACTGGCAGCGGTGGGTCCTCACCACCTCTAAAACAGTCTTTACTAGCTGTGTTTCAAGACAGGGGAATAATTTTTGGTGATTTTGGTTTTTGCCTGTTATAAACCTGTGGTTTTGGTGCTGGATGTTCTTGATGCCAAAATAGAAATGTTAATGCTAAAAATACACCAAATTTTAGCATTGACCTTCATTCTGTGGTGTAGAGCAATTGCTTGTCTCAACATCACATGTATCCTACAGCTGATGCTGGGATTACTAAATATTGGTAAAAGAGAATCAACTAGCTTAAGACGTAGATGAGACTTCGATCTTACTGTTTTCTTAGTATGAGTGCTTCCTAATTCCCACTCTTTCCTTCCAGCTATCAAGTGGGAAACCTGTGCATTCCTGTGATTTGACTGGGGAAAGGAGAGGCTAAGTGCTAGGGATAAGGTGTGCATAGAATACCATACAGTATCAGGAGATGGGCTTACTTGTTCTTGTATGAAATGGACAATCTTGTGAGTAACTATTCATCTGACTCTTTATTTATGTTTTTTTGTTTGTTTGTTTGTTTGTTTTTAAAGTAGTTCAGCATTTATGTCATGTAGTTGCACTTATATATATATATATATATTTAAGCTAACAAGGACAATTTTTTCCCTCAACTAAAATTGGGATCTTATTCAAAAGCCTTGTAGTCAAAAGAAACAGGAGGTGATAATGAGTTTAGGGCATGATGAGCAATTTCAGTACAAGTGGTGGCAATGACAAAACCTCCATGGCAGTACTGCAGAGTAATATTGCCATATTACTAAAGGGAGCAAGAGAGAGTTCAAAATGGATGATAATACTATGGCTGTATGGGAAGGGGAATGTGAAAGGCAGAATGAGGAAGGAGGGGGCTTACATTTTACATTAGGGAACATGAAAAAGGAATAGAACTTTTCAGATGTAAAATTTAATAAATTGGAATGAAATCGTGTTTGGCAGTTAAACAGGTGTTTCAGGCACACCAAGAGGGATCTGGACAGGCTGGATTGATGGTCTGAGGCCAACTGTATGAGGTTCAACAAGGCCAAGGGCTGGGTCCTGCACTTGGGTCAGAACAACCCCACACAGCAAGACAGGCTTGGGGAGGGGTGGCTGGAAAGCTGCCCAGAGGAAAAGGACCTGGGGGTGCTGGTTGAATATGACCCAGCGGTGCGCCCAGGTGGCCAAGAAGGCCAACAGCACCCTGGATTTTATCAGCAATAGTGTGGCCAGCAGGACTAGGGAAGTGATTGTCCCCCTGGACTTGGTACTGTTGAGGCCCCACCTCAAATACTGTGTTCAGTTTTGTGCCCCTCACTACAAGAAAGACATTGAGGTGCTGGAGCATGTTCACAGAAGGGCAATGAAGCTGGTGAAGGGTCTAGAGAACAAGTCCTGGAGAAGCAGCTGAGGAAACTGGGGGTGTTTAGCCTGGAGACAAGGAGGCTGAGGGGAGACCTTGTCACTCTCTACAACTACCTGAAAGGAGGTTGTAGTGAGGTGAGGTGGGTGTTGGTCTCTTTTTCCCAAGTAACAAGTGATGGGACAAGATGAAATGGCCTCAAATCGAGCCAGGGGAGGTTTAGATTGGATATTATGAAATATTTCTACACTAAAAGGGTTGTCAAGCATTGGAACAGGCTGTCCAGGGAAGTGGTTGAGTCACAATCCCTCAAAGTATTTAAAAGATGTGTTGATATGGCATTTAGGGACATGGTTTAGTGGTGGACTTGGCAGTGCTAGGTTAATGGTTGGGTTAGACATGATGATCTTAAAGGTCTTTTCCAACCTAAACAGTTCAATGATTCTATGATTCCAAGAGATAGATGCAGAATGGAGTGAGATGGCTGCTAACACACTGTAATTTTTAGTTTTGTTGTGTTTGCAAGAGTTAGCTATAAGGGGGTACAGTTGTAAAGCAGACAGCCATTACTACCAAATATAAAAAACCCCTGAAGAACAAAGTTAGATGATACTGTGATGTAACAACGTAAAGTTAACATGAGGTTAAAAAAAACCCCACACTATTTTCTGTGTAGTAGATGATAATCACTGTCCTTTCAGGATTAAAGATGAAGTGAAATACATTATGGTGCCAACCACCAGCTTTTCAAACTAGCCCATTTAGATCTAGCAAGATCTAGTCATGATGGTTGAGGATGATGCTAGTAGCAAAACAGACACCATTGGTTCATGAATAAAATGTCTCGGGGTGAGTTTCAGCAGAGCCTCAGTGCTGAGATGCCAATTCCAGAAAGTCCAAAGAAAAAGCCTGGAAGTAGTCTGAGAAACAGCATTTTTCAGGGATGACTGAAGTGAGCTACAGTAACCGAAGGTTACAATGATGTCTAGCTGCTCAGAGGTGTGTGAGAGGATAGCAGAGTGGTCGTCTCTACAAGGGGGAGTATAAGCAAAACCAGGCTTTTGCATGGCAATACTGTGGGAATTACTGCTGCTGGGCTACTGTGCTGATACAAAGCGATGCTCAGCTGAAAATGAAGTTCTGTTTACTGATGCAAAAATTATCACAAAAAAGCCACTCTCTACACAATGGCAATTTCTGCATGCCTTTAAATAACAGTTAGAACAAACCTCTGTTCCTCTTTTGGCAGCTATAAGCAGCAGGCCCTTCATTTTTTGCAGAAAGTTTGCACTCAGTTTTAGTCACAGTAAATGGACAAACGCAGTTTATCTCCCAAGCCCTGTGGAGTTGTCTCAGTTTCTTTAGGCACTGGCATATATCATGGTGCAAAATGTCACCCTGCCAGCAAGGTAAATTTTTGAAGTAATTTTTGCCATATGTTGTGCCCACAGACACAAGGGAACATATCCATGTTGGTATATACATTCACTTCAGTATTTGTATGTGCCTAAACTCAGTATATATGTGGTAAAATTCTAGATGAGCCAGGCTTCTCTTTTTGGTTGCTTCCTTGTCCTTTCATGTAATTAACTTTGTTTTGGACTATGAGTCTGAGCATCAAAGACTGGGGCCAAGAACAGAAGTGCACTTATGTGTCTGTTAAAATCTCTTCCTGTTTTAGAAGACATCAAACCTGACTCAGGAATAGTGGGAATTGTAGCACCAAGGTAGGTATTTTATAGTTTTAAAAGACCACAAAATATATTAATATACTTTTAAATATGAAGAATTAATGCCCTGGAATAAGGTTTGCAGTGAATTAGACTAAGGTTTTGTGCTCAGTGTGTGGGTTTATGTCAACTGGTAGTCTTGCTGTAGAAGTACATTAGTATGAGAGTACATTGTACATATTACGAGAGTATGCTTTGTTCAGAGGAAAATGCCATTAAGTTGCAGATGTAAAACTCGAACGTTCTTAGATAATTCACATACAGCTACTCCTGACTCTTAAATCACGTGTATGGGAAGACAGACCAGTGGAGGCATGGAAATTCCTCCCTCCGCAGGCACAAAAGCTGAGGCGGCAGTGCCGTACAGCAGGACAGCCCGGTGCAGCCGTGCTGCAGCACGTGCAGGGCCTGCGGCACCGGGGGACGGGGGGTGACCCTCTCCTGAAAGCGGGGGTGTGTGTGTGTGGGGGGGGGGGGTTCCAGGTATTTGCAGTCCGGTTTCTGCATGGAAAGAATCAAACCAAAAGCAGTAAAGCCTTTGGCACGTAATGGCACGCTGTAACTTAGCTGCTTGTTCATGCTTACAAAGGTGTCATGGTTTCCCTCGCATCCTTACATACACAGAGGAGCCTACACCTGCAAACTCTTAACAGAACAGATGAAATTTTCTGTAATAGAAGTACTAGTTCTCAAGGCGTTCATCAGCTGTGGAGATAAATGCTGGCTGCAGTACTCTGCATGATACGTTATCACAGCCTAGCTCTATAGAACTTTTCTGTTGGTTTTGTAATATCTTTTCTCATAGTGCTTTTTATGTGTCAGAAATCCATACAGGCTTCTTATTGCTTGAGTCTTACTTGTTTCCTCAAGCTGCCCACTTGCTCAGACTGTATTTTTGGCTAGACCTGGTGTTTCCAGGCTAGACCTTTTTTCCTTCCCTCTTCTGTGCGAGGAATGGGCAATGGGGTACAGCTAATTCCCTCCTGAAGGAGCCAGGAGCAGCTGCAAACACCTCTCAGCAAAGCTGAAGACAGAAGACGAAGTGGAGGAACTGCTGACAGCAGAATGGTATGTTTTAGTCCATGTTTATAGCAGAAAATGTATGATAAGGAATGCAACTCCTCTGAGGGGGCAAGGGACTTGCCTGCATCACCCACCCCCCCCCCCCCATTATGGTCTGCCTTTACTCTGAAGACGTGACCCAGTAAGTGGCACATGAAAATAGATGATGATCCTTGCCTAATTATACAGATACAGTTTTAGTTTAATCCGAGTTTCATTTTTACAGTTAGAAGTTACATCCAGAAAAGAATCAGTGCGATCTTAACCAGCTGCTGGCCTAACAAAGTAAGTGGGAGACAGTCCAGCCTTCTGCATTGAGCTTTCTAATGCTATCCAAAGTAAAACTACCACTGTGTTTGGAAAGGACTGAATTAGGGATAGGAGAAAAAACCCAAACAAAATGCTTTATTTTATTCAGAAGGGGCTGACTATGAAAGAAGCAGAATGAAACCTAAGTTGGGCAAGGACACATAAATGCCTGTGCTCATCATAGCCACATATTGATACATAAATATGTGTTAGCCTTGAAGTCTTAGTTTTCATCTCAGAATAGAGATTTAATGTCATAGCATTTTTGCCACTTTCCCAGATGCCTGACTGTACTTAAACAACTTAAACAACAAATGGGCAGTTTCACTGGATTTTAATGTGTTGACAACCAAGTCTGGATAGAGGTATCATTTGATAAAGCATCACTTTCAGTAAGGATTTTAGTTACAATAAGTTTGGAAATGGATTTTTTTGTTGTTTGTTTTTATTTACTATAATTAGAATCTACAACTTCCTCCTCTCAGGAAATCAATATGGAAGCACCAACCTTGGGAGAATTCTGAGCAAAATAAACAGTAACACTAGTTTATTTTATTTTTATCTTCTCAGCTTTCAATAGGGCGTATTAAAATCTTAAATAATTAAATGACACTTTGAATGGTTTGCTCCCAGAACTTTTTACATGATTCAGAAGGATTTTAAACTAATGGTAATGCTTATATCATGTTAATAGAGCTACTGTACAATCCATACAGGACTCTCCTGGTCTCTCTTTCTTCTGATGAGTTATGGTAACAGCAATGATTTGAAGCCACCTTTAGCTTCGTTCTTAATCTGGAGCCTCACTCTATTTAGTAATGCTTGGATTAGTAACAAAAGGCCATACAAGCCCAGATGCAGGGCCACGGCTGCCACCTCTTTGCCTTTGCATCACAAAATTGTTGTGCAGGAAACCAAGTTCACGCTCACATTAATTCTGCTACGACAGACTGGAACAGCTGTAGCAAGCAAAATAAACTACTGTTGTGCTCCATATTAAAATGGTGAGAAAAGTAAATTGTTTTTAAAGAACAAAAATGCTGTGATATTTGCTAACGTGTGGCATGTCTTACCTGCTCTGTAGTTTTAACAGTACTTGCTTTGAACAGGCTTACAACATATTTAATTTCTGGGTGTCTTGTGCAAGCGCCTTATCCAGCTCTAGGTTCTTTACCTCTCACAAGGGAAAAGGCAAAAAGCAAGCTGGTCTCCTTTGCTGGCCTTTGCAGAAAACCCTGTGAAATGAACCGTAACTCTTACATGAACAGGATCTCTTAACCATTACATCTGCGAGCATAACTACATTAGAACTCATTGTGGTATCTCAGCAGATTCTTGGAGAATTTCCTAACCCTTGCTGCATTTGAAAGAAGCTGCTGTGTCCCATAATTCAGGTATTGACACTGCATGCCTGGAAAGGGGGAAGTCAGAAAATGTAGTGCAGTAAAGAGGAACCGTAGTCTTTGGACTGAAGTCACTGTTGAGGTAGGCTTTTACTTTAGAAAAAAAATAATTACCACATTTAATTTTTTTTTTGTTAATATCCACTAACTAATGACTTTCAGCTGCTTCTCTCCTGCTGCAAAAGCAGGAATGGGGTCATTCTTTTTCCTAAGTTTGCAAATTGAACCACTGTGCAATGGAAAGACTACACGTACTTGAAAAAAAAAGTATTTATTGTATTTGATGTAAAACAATAGTGTACAAAGTAAAATGTGTTCACAAATTTTTGTGTTTTAAATTCTTGTCCTCTGAACCAAACAATTAAGATGTCTTCTGATCAGTGGAGCGGTACGATCCCAGGAAAGGAGAGCTACACTTGATCTATCACTGTGCAAAAGGAGCAGCAGGGGGTATGGAAGGCATTTTCAGAACATGGAAGGTCTGACACTTCTGGTAAAAGTTAACCTAAACAAGACAGAGAGAGAATGCTGATCTTTGTTTTAACTTCAGTCCCATCCTATCACCAGGATGATGGCTGGTCACTTTTCACAGATAATTTCTGCTTCCAGTCAACCTCCCCCAGCCCCATCCCCAAGTTTGGCTTTTTAATTTGGCATAGAAGTTACAAACAAAATTTTAAGTACAGAAGAGAGTTTCATCAAATTTCAGAGGTTACTAATGTTGGTCAAATTACTGGAGTGCATAAAATCATTCAAATCAAGAGTCCTTGTAATCTGCAAATGGAATGGCTGTATCACCAAAGAGCAAGGATAAACCCCAAATCTCTTGTATTAAAGAACTACCTAAAGCCACAGTGAAGGGTGTGTGTGTGGGGGTGTGTGTGTGTGTAGTTTGTTTTGTGCACATGCGTTCTTGGTTACAGTGAGTCTCTGGGAGACATAAATACTGAGCGGTAAATGTTTCTGTCAGCTGATTGTTTTAGCAGTCACGTAATCCTTCCTTTGATGTCTTGGGTCAGTGAAATCCTAGTACCATCGGGGTTTAGTAGGAGATATATTAAAAGAGTTTCTCTGTGATCTTTCCTGCAATGGAAACAGCAGTAGAAGTTATTACTCTGTCACAGTAAAGGAGTATCTGTGCATTCTTGATTGCCCCAGCTTTCCAAATTGGGTTATTTTTTAGGTTACCAGTAGAGCATAACTGTGGTTACAGAGTTAACAATGATCTCTTGATTTCTAGAGCTACCACAACGAGGTCTGGAGAAGATGGGGAAGATCCACAGTGCAAGCACATTCTCTTGGTTATTAGCAGGTTACTCTGAAAATTATGCTGGAGGTCAGTTACCAGAGCAATACTGTGTGATGTGCTACATATCCACATACCTTCTTGTCCTAAGCCAACAGCTCTCTAAACAGCTTTTCCACCTTAGGCTGTTTAGTGTTTGATATCAGGACAGCATGCTGCATACTAATTCAGTTTTTGATAGAAAACAGTAACAACATTTCTCAAAGGCTCTTAGAAAAGGTATATCTTTTTTTGCTCTAGGGCTCGACTCCTGTTCCTGCTGAACTGAGCCAGTGTGTAAAATCAGAACTGATATCAGCTCAGTAGGAACTGGAGGACGGGTCCATTAACAGCCTGGAACAACAGCAGCACCTCCAGTCGGAAAAAAACACTTCCTGCGAACAACACACCGTGCTGAGCTACAACTGCAGAAAGACCATGACAGCATCCATTAAAGAGAAGACTATGAAACAAAGCTTTGTAGGCAATTCCAGTTTTGAGTCACAAATATTTATTTCCTCTGACCTTCAGAAGATCATGGTAACCAAATTACTGTAGGCGATGCCTTATGTTTGCAGTCAGACTGGGAATTCAAGGAGCACTGTTTTTTCTCAATTAAAACCAAGAGTCTCTGGTCCTCCCCAGGTCACTTCTGCCTTTCATCCTCGGTGTACTGCGTCTCACACACGTGCATTCATTTTAAATATGCCCATTCAGCAGCAAGGTATCTCAGCCAGCAAACGCTCTCTGCCCTGTGCAGGCTGACATTAAGCAAAGTCTCCTCTCCCCTTCTCTTCAGGTGCAGAACTTAGCCACTGTGAACAAAGAGGGAAACAATCACTGTTCACCAATCAGCTAAGCTCTGCACCTCGACAGAGAGGTCTCCGTCTCGGTATAGCTAATTATCAGATGAGGTTCTTCCGTGATGTGTCTGCTGCCTTCCTCTTTTTTTTATGTTTAATGGACGGAGAGGATTCCACGCTGTGCACAGATTGGGTAGTTATGGTGAGTTTCCTACTAGCAGCTGCGGTCATGGCTGTGTGGTAATCCCTGGCAATGTGATTTTAATCTTAAGTCACAAATCATCATGCCAGGAACCCAAACAGCCACAACATTAAGAAAAAGCTGTGCAGTCACAGAGTGTTGTTCTCATAACAGTACCTCTAGATTTTATGTTACAGCTCACCCTGATCTCCTTGTCTGTTTGAAAAGTCAAAGGGGCAATGTAATTTTCCTGTGCTAGATACTTACCACCAGAAGCTTGTAAAAATTTTGATTCTTATTTTATTTTTGCAGGAACTATAGGAAGACAGTTCCTAGTACAGTAGTACCAGAACAAACTGCATCTCTGTGTTTCTGGCCTTCAGACACTTGAAGGCATCTACCAGATTAAAAATTGTTGAACGTAACTCAAGATTCCTGTGGGTCCTCAAAAACTGGGAGCACACAAGCAAGTCTCAGCCCTACCTGTTTTAGAAGGTGACCCTCCTACCCTGTAAGTGATATCCTGGTACCCTACAGTCTGATCCACCTTTCCCAAAAAGTCTTGTTGGCAGGCACAGTTCTTTGTACAGAGGAACAACATGGCTGTCCATAAACAAACTTGCTTTCGTGTTATCTATCATCTACTGTATTTCAAATAACTAAAATAAACACCACAAATTCAGATGGAACTCATTATCAAGTACTGCTACATGTACAGGATTGGACAGGAGAAAATTAAGATTTCTGCTTGGTACCAATTAGAAAATTATGATTTTGCTAAATTAAATGCCTGAATTTTGATACCACAAATCAACTGTAAAGTTATGTGAACAACCAGGGCAATCAGTCCATCAGATGAGTTATATCATTAAGGAAAAATCTGAGGTATGCTGTACTTGGAAGAGACCTTCATACCAATCCTAATTGCCTATGTGTTAAAAATGCATGTATAGACACTGTAAGGTTACCTCTGACTACTCAAATAGACTGAAAAATGGGGAATATATTTGCAAGTTACCAGTTTATAGCCTGCAGCAATCTTTATTTCATGAATATTCCTTGCAATTCTGCTTCTTCTCTGGTGATCCCTCCCCATTAAGTTAAGAAACAAGATAGATTATGTATGATATTAAACAGCTTCTTCCTGTTAAGGCTAATCTTCTTACCTCATAATCAGTCTTCAAAGGTCTCACTACACTTAACACAAAAATATTTAAATTATCAGCTTGTTCTCACATGATTCAGATTTGCTTCCAAGTGCACAGATTCATACTTCCACTGTGGGATCAGATTCCTTTCAAAGACTCTGCTGCCTATCAAGTCAACATGCAGCTTTGTTAAACAGAAATGCTCCTTGCAAAATTGCAATTTCTGTAAGCAGATTTAAGAACACAGAATGGGAAACAACTGCACATAGAGGCTGGCCTTCTCCAGCCAGACATTTGGACTTACAGTTGCCTCTTGTACAGTCCATTACAAAGTACAACAAGGCCATGCTCCATGCCCTCCAGCTAGTGTCTACATGTATCTAACTCACTCCTCCTCCAGCAGCTGGTCTTTAAAAAAAAAAAAAAAAAAAAATGCACAATATTTAACAAGAGTAACTTCTCAAGTTAGGCAGACACAAGGTGTATGGTATGCCAAAGTTTACTACATTTAATGAGCTCTGAGTATTCTTTCTGTACGAGGCAAAAGCAAGGTGTTCAATTTAAAAAGAAAAATCACCTCTTCAGAATAACATCTCTGCCACCACTTTGGCTGAGGACGCATCCATATGTTCTCGCACTGCAGCAAAGCATTTATGTGCAAGTTCTTGTTGTTTCATATCTTCATTCACCATTAATTCGCCATAGAGATACACACCCATTGCCTGAAAGAGGAACACAACACACAGGCATCCTATCACCAGTAACAACTAGTTAGCTGGTTTTCATTCCACTGACCTCCTAGTACTCATTTAATTCAAAACAGAGTAGGCAATTCAAAACACAGAAAATACTATGTACTCTATAACGCCTAGATGTCCCCCTTCCAAAAGCAGTTTTCTCTGGATCTCTTTAGCCTAAATATGGTTGTTTATATATGGTATTGGGTGTTGCAAGAATGGAATATTAATATGAAATAGATATTATGTCGTGACAAGAAAATGCTTTCTCACTCCATTTTTCTTGACACTTTTCAAGGTGAAATCTGTTTTCCTTTATCCACTACTAAAATATTTCCAAATGCCCCTTAAGAAAAGAGATTGTCCTTTTTTCAACAGGATACACATTTTCTTTCCAACTGAGATGTTTACACACACATACACACACACACACAAATAAAGAGGATATCAACCAAAACCATGCACTCTAAAATTCCCATTTGGCTATTCTGTAACTGGACATCAACTGAATGTGGTCAGATCTGTCTTTCAGACTCTTCTTTACATCTGAGATATGGCTGAACATGCATAAATTCTGATTTGGTAAGAAGGCAAGCTTTTCCTAACTACTCATTCTGGACATAGCAGCTACCAAGAAAGATAATGGGGCACTTGGGGGTGAGATCTGAGCCCCTTTGACAGCAGGTAGCAAAGCACTGGCTACCTTAACAGGAGATTAATATGGGAGATTGCCATTTTTTTCAGATGAGACAATCTTCCACCTAATTACAGGAATTCAGTAAGTGTTAAGCTGCAGTTAGCCAAATAGGATTATACACATGACAAAATATTAGTAGTTTAGCACACTGACTTTTACAGTTGTACTTCATGTTTGAACATTTTCAGGGGAGGAAAAATTTGGATAGCATTGAAATAACACAACTTTTAATACTATTCCCTACAATTTCTAGCACTGGCTGGTAAGCCTTAAAACAAATTAGCTTCAATAAGAAGGGAAATTTAAAGATTAAGACTGAAATAAAAAGAGAAAGTCCAGAGTGGCAGAAACCCGCCAGACTCCTTGCCAATCCCCTAAACATGCCATGCAGAGATCCCAGAATTCACATTTATAGGGTTTGCAGCTGCACCAGGCATGCACACAGCCTTGGAGCTGGGCTTCAGTTGCTCTCATAGAGAATTTCAAAATGTTGGAATTTTGTTACAAACAGGAATTACCTTCTCTACCCAGTATTAATAATTTTCCCCCAGCCTAAACATTAACATGCAGTAAACACACTGGATTTTTGTAGACCTGAAAAGGATTTAAATAGTCACATTTGCATTTTTCCCAGACTTTAAAAAAAGCCAAGTCTTTCATGTTCAATAAGGACATGAAACTGCTCTGAGTTGTAATCACTCTAGAAGTTGGTTGTGCCATAACTGTGTGCACTGCTGGAGCAAATTAAATGAAAGATATTGAAGGATACATAAAAAAAAGTTGCAAAAATGATTCCCCTGTGCTGCAGAAAAGGTTAGTCTTTATTTGGCATAATATCTGTTCCAAACATAATGTAATTCAATATGCATGGTTTTATGAACTCCATGATTTCCCTGCCCCTCCCTGTCCCCCCAAGGTTTCTGCTGGTGGTTATCTCCATCCTTTCATAGGATTAAAATATGCACAATAGATGTAACTCCTTACTTTAATAAATAATGTTGTTTTACAGTTGTTTTGGTTGTTGTTGTTGTTGTTTTTTAAATAAAGGGTTTGCCAGAAAGACTGGGGCCTGTTTATTGGCGGAGATATAAATAGGAGGTATACTTCAGAGCTGGAAGAAATAGCACAAGAGACTGCAATAATTCCATTGTGCTGTTTTTACAAAATGTTTTTGCCTGAAAGCAAAAAAACCTCATTGGCTGTAAATGTCTTTGTTCATTGTCAACATAGAAGACAAAGACATTGATATCCGGCCTAGACTTTGACATATTTTTCAACATTTTCTATTTTTTACATACATTTTAAATATATAACAGTCATCTTAGGCAGTGAGTGTCTTTATTTTATAGAGTTCATAGTGAATAAAAATAAATAAAAGTGAAGTATAAAGAGCAAGGCAAAGGTACAAACTAGAATTGTAAGTTCATAGTGGCCTAAATAAAAAGCCATAATAAAGACATCTTGTATGGCCAGCTTTTTAAGACCTTCAAAATCTTTTGATAGTATTTTCCTAAGTGTAGAGAGGCCTGCGTTATCTGGATGCATCTCATTGTCCTATGCTTCTCCTGGATGTCATCTTGAAAACCAGAGTCACCACATCACTGACTGCTCCGCATCTAGCTCATACCTACATGCATTAACATTCACAGCTAGATTTGCCTTTGTCATCCTGCAAAAGAAACCAATGCTGAGAACTATCTTCCTAGCATTGCTCCTACCTCTGGCTTGCATAAAATGGAAGGAGAGGAGGGAATCTATCCTATTTCACCACTTAAGAGAAGATTGGCATGCTTAGGTGGGGTTGGATACCCCTAAGTGGCTTTCTTAAACTACAGTGTTTAAGGGGTAAAAGAGGCAAAAACTGAATATACATTCATGTTTTTGACAAACTGCAGCAAGAAAGTACATTAAAATCTCTTTGTTTCACACAAAGGGTGTCAAAAAGTTGATTTTTTTGAAAATGCTAATGAAATGTAACTGACCTGATCTTCTCTGAGAAACTTCTCAACATCTCCATACCCAGGGACGTACTTGTGTTTAACTACAAGTTCACACCACCGGTGACGAACCTTTAGGAAGAAAAAAAATATATTAGGGGGGAAAAAACCAAACCAAACCAAACCAAAACAAAAAAAAAACCTGCACTGTATCTACATGAGTGATGATAAACAATACATATAGAACCAGAGCTGGGTTTTGTGGTTTTTGTTGGGTCTGGGTTTTTTGGTAGGTGATTGTGTTTTTTTTTTTTCCCCAGCAGCCAGGCAGACATCTCCCAACGCCAGCTGGTAAGCTGGGCTCTGTGCACCTGGGCCCAGGCTTTGGAAACCCAGAACGCCCAAAGACAAACTCCTGGTTCCATGTTAGTAAAATAACCCACATCCAGGCAGAGATCTGAAGCATCTTCACCTCCACTGTTTCCAGTTTTGACTATTTTTTCCTTTAAATTAGGCTAGTGGTTATTTCTTTTCTAGTGTTAGAAGGGGTGAGGGGGAGGAGATTAGCACTGCAAACATCTGGAAGAACCACAAGGTATAACTGATAATTTCTCCCACGTAAATGTATAATCCAAGAGATAGAAAGGCTTAAATATAATTCTGTGCCAATATTAAATCTATGCCAAAAGGATAAGAGTTAGATATAATGCCATGAAACAGGGAGGTTTCAGTTAAAGGAAGCACAGTTGTGCCACTGTATCTTTGTTGGTAATAGATTTTAAGCACCTTGCAGAGGATTTAAACTCCATCTACACTTAAATATCTGGGCTGTTCTACCAAATGCACATTGACAAAAACAGTTATTAACATACTGTAATGAGAAGTATAGAAATTTTCATGCAAATCACAACTAAAAAATATGTTTCTTTCAGTATCATGGACATGAATTACACGTGTTGTTTTTTGTTTTTTGTTTTTTGTTTTTTCTTTAAATTTCTGACTACTCCCCATTAAGTTGTTCTTAACCACTCTTGTGGGGTGTCATCTTACTCTCCAGCAAGTTTTCCTCAGTTGTAGGCAGTGATCAGGTTAACATTTTATATTCCATTAGTGGCTCAAAACTGATCCTAAAGGAAACCAGTTAAATTCAATAAAACCCTCCCACTCTCCCAATTGTTCTGTTTCAGCCTTTGTTCTTGTCATCTTTTGAAAGACAAGGCACCTAATAACTATCACCATTCATAGTAAAAGTAAAATGTCAGCAATTCTAATATTTTTCAAAACTGAGCCCAAATTGTGCTGATATCAAGTAACTGAACATGAACCTTTTTCTGAATGACAGATTTACTAATAACATCAAGAACGGAAGCCACAAAGGTAAGGCAAAAAAGTCACACTTATGCATATTGTTGCTTTTGGAAAGAAGGTATTTGAAAATACTTGTCATCCTAGTCCTTGACAACTTTACAACTCAGGAAAAAGTTTCACAGACTTGTGTAATTAGATGTTAATCCTATTAGCATAATTAACAAGCGATAAATGCTCACAGGTCCTGGAAGAGTCCTTCTCGGGTACCTGATATCTCTTTCCAGCTGACCTCTTATACAAAATAGTGTCAACACATCGAT